CAATATTCAGCTACAGCTTGTTCCCTTTCCGTCCTTGCCAGGAGCAGTGTTGCCAGGTCCATCTTCACCATCGGCCTATGCCGGTTCTCCAGGAATTGTTTGGTACTATTTGGGCAGGATTCCACCAAGTTTAAACGAAAGTTGGCTGAACCCCGCCTTCACTGCAATTGCTGGAGCTCCAAGGGCAAAGCAGGATCCATCCTCCTGCAAAGCCATGCGTGTAAATACATTATTGTATAATGTAGTATATATATAATACATATTACATAAATTCAGGTTAGGAGCTTGAATCATATACACATATAGGTATGGTGTTGTTTGGAAGGGATTGCACATTCTGTGTATGAAGGTCCCAAATGTTAAAGATCCCAACCCGAGCCTGAGTTGCAATCGCACCACACACCATTGGTTCAGCAGGAACTTCCTGACGTATGCTGCATGGTGCCATGCAACGCAATGCCCCTGTAACTTCATTCCGTCCTTCAAGTCGGTGATGGTTGGTCCATGTGGTTCATGGGCCTCCCGTGGGCATAGAGTGATGTGGAAACCCACCCCGGCAAAGCAAAAGTGCCAAAAAGGGTTTCCTTTTTTGCGTGTTTTTACTGTTTTAGGGAGTATAGCAAACCAAGAGGAAATGGCAAAACTTTGGTCTCATGATTCAAACGCCTGGCTCATGTCCACATCACGTTCATCGGGGATGGGCTGCATTTCCTGCACAAAAAAAGATCAAGTACATGTTGCCTATATAATTCTGTGTGGCACCCAGGTTTCAATGAAAAATTGTCCTCCAACTCCATGGGTCGCGGCACCCGTTGATCATGTTCACGCGCATCAGCCTCCGCTTGAGATAGGGATAAAAACAGGGAAAAGCTGCAGGTATGAACAAAAATTGAATGTGGGGCCTTCTGGTTGCCAGTCTTGAGGTCCCCCAAGTTCAACATCGAAGAGGTTTCCTGCAAGGAAGCAACAGAAAGAATGAAATCACTATATAGGTACTTTGATGAATCATGAAAAGGTCCTGAGCCAAAAGGCAATCAACTTGATCCATGTCCAAAGGGAGTGTTTCCATGAGGTCGACGTTTTGTCCTGCATATGTCCAGGAAACAAGTTGACACTTCTACTGCACAAATACCAGATAGATAGGTAGAAAGATGGATAAATAAATAAATATATATATATATAAATGTTTGTATAATTAATGAATATCTGTGAGTTTATCTATCTTGTATGAAATAGCATCGTATGTGCACATATGAACGCGCATGGGTGTTCATATTGAGTCCTGGCTGAACTATCGGCTCCACTGGCTTGGCAGATTTGGCTGCCAGATCTTCCAAGTGTTTCAAGTGTTTAAGCTGAAGTTCCAGTTCCAGGAGCATCTTTAGCTGGCGAGCCTTCCGTGCGGCATCTACCTTAGGCAAGCATATCTATATGTGGTGAGAGTACAGGGGGCCACCACATATTATACATACATATATATATATGTATATGTATGTGATAAATCTAAAATTGGAATTGTAGTCAAGAAACAGGACCAGTAACTGGAGTCGGGCTTAGCATGGGAACCACAGGATACTTGGGCGGTGGTGTCACAGGCGGGCTGGGGATCGAAGGGACCGGCTCCACTGCTGGCATGGCCGCTTGCTCCACACTCTTGGCAGGTGGTGCTTCACCTGAAGTTAGAATGGGAGCCTATCTGGGAATGTCTCAAAACAAAGGGGGTAGCAAAACCTATTATATAACTATAATATATTTTTTACAATTTGTTTTGAGACATTCCCATGCTTTAAACGATATTATACTGGAAAAGCCAAGGCCATTACAAAGAGAGCTGCGTATAGCTATGTCTTTGCATGAACCGCAGTAGAACGTGTCTCCTTGCCTTCACCCACTTCAACTGCTGGATCGTCGTCCAAATCTTCTTCGCTTTCCGACTCCTCCTCCACATCGGTTGACGATTCGGATTCGTCCCTTTCAGCTTGCTCAGGCCAATCAACACCGATGGCCGACATGAACGACCGCAACATGGGGTCTCTGGGTCTGTTAGGCCTGTTAGCCAAACGATTTTTTGCAAAAGTCAGCAATCGTTTCAGCTGCCATCCTTGCGTCTCGGCAACCATTCCTTGGACAAAAGCAGTGTGCAACGAATGTAACCATTTTGAACACGCACGCGCGCACGCACAAGCATTACTATCACATGAGCAATCATATCACAATAGCCGAAGTGTCGAGAGCATGGGATTTGCATGTAATCGTACAGCGCCTGCACATGCACCGTGCACGTCTTGACACCAACCCGCAGCCCCAACATCTTAGCTGCCACGGTCAGCACTGCAACGTTCTGCTTTATGGAGTCCCCGGTCGATGACCTCTGTCAGCACCTCCACCTCAAAGAGATTTTAAGGAGGAGTCGGAAAGCGAAGGGGTTGCGAAGAAGATGCAGCAGTTGAAGTGGGTAAAGGCAAGGAGACACGTTCTACTGCGGTTCATGCAAAGATATAGCAACTATCCATCTATCAACCTATCCAACTATCCATCTCTATCCAACTATCCATATCTATCCAATTACCCATATCTATCCAACAATCTACCCATCTACCTATCTGACAATCTACCTACCTACCTACCTACCCACCTACCTATCCATCCACCTATCTACCTATCTACCTATCTACCTATCTACCTATCTACCTATCTACCTATCTACCTATCTACCTATCTACCTATCTACCTTTCCATCTACCTACCTTGTCTACCTATCTTCTCTATCGATCTATCTATCTATCTATCTACCTATCTATCTATCTCCCTACCGATCTCTCTCTCTCTCTCTCTCTCTCTCCCTCTGTCTGTCTCTCTCTCGCTCTCTCTCTCTCTCTCTTTCTCTTTCTCTTTTTCTCTCTCTCTCTCTCTCTCTTTCTCTCTCCATCGCCCTATCTACCTATCTATTTGCCTATCTATTTGCCTATCTATCTACCTATCTACCTATCTACCTACCTATCTACCTATCTACCTATCTACCTATCTACCTATCTATCTATCTATCCATCCATCTGTCTATCTATCTATCTATCCATCCATCCATCCATCAGTCTATCTATCTATCTATCTACCTATCTATCTATCAATCTATATATCTATATTTCTACCAAATGTATCTAATCTGTCTTTCTATCTATCGATCTATCTACCTACCTATCTATTTATCTACCTACCTACTTATCCATCTATCTATCTGTCTTTCTATCTATCTATCCATCTATCTACCTTTCTATCGACCTACCTACCTACCTACCTTCCTATCTACCTCCCTATCAACCTATCTATTTTTCTATCTATCTATATCTCTCTCTTTCCCTCTCCCTCTGTTTCTTTCTTTCTTTCTTTATTTCTTTCTTTTATTTCTTTCTTTCTTTCTTTTATTTCTTTCTTTCTTTTTTTTTCTTTTTCTCTTTCTGTCTTTCTTTTTCTCAATCTCTCTCTCTCTCTCTTTCTCTCTGCCGCTTCATCGCCCTATCCGTCTATCTATCTATATCTTTTTTCCTATATCATCCTATATCTATGTTTCTACCTGTCCACCTATCTTAAAACTATATCTATACCTATATCAGTTTATATCTATATAATCTAGCTATCTACTATATGTTATCGATCTAGATACAGATTCAATCAGGGCAAGTGGCCAATTGCAACTTGCGAGCTTTGTCGCGGATATCCCCATTACTCTCCCATTCCATGGCCAGCGCGGAGTGGGACATCTTTGTGCTGAGAAATTGAAATTGCATCCCAAATGATATTGGTGCGGTTACTTATCCAACGATGTTTTTGTCCCGCGCATGCTGCAACACCTTGAGCCTTGCAGTGTCATATGAAATCCACTTTGACTTATGATGCTGCTGCACACGTCAAGCGCTAAGGTCTTGCTGAGAAGACCCGCCATCCACACAGCCTTTAGTGCAAAAAGTGCAGGGCGATTGGGGGGACCCACCTGCTTCTTCACGACCCGTGCCAAACAGCACAGCATATGGTCACGCACACAGCATGGACGCTCATGGATTGACAGTTTCTAAGCACCTGGAATGCACCTGTTGGGATGTACTGTTGATCCTCAATGGTATGTCCCAAAATCGCACTTTGATGTACCTACCATTGGCTTGACTTGGCAATTGGGACACCACATGGGTAGATATGGATGCTTTGATTTCAAATGACTGATATGCAAACCCAAAACATCAATTCTCATGGAAAACGGAACGTTTGGTCCAAATGGCACGTTTGGAACGTTTGCGCAGTTTTGCGCCCTTTTGCGGGTCATTTTGGGCTAATGTACCAATAGTGCAGTTATTTCATCACTTTGGAAGGTCCAGGTATATATATAATTTCTGAAAATACGTATTCTTAATGTTTCTGGTACATTGTCAGCATTCGTTCCCTCATCTGGACCTGTTCCTCGGCCCAAGGCGTTTTTCAGCTGATCGGTCCTTGCTCACATGCTGCAGCATGTAGCGGTACACGTTCCCCGGCTTCCTTGTGGTTGCATACATTGCCCCACGGCCCCAAGTCATGGTGATTTTCTTCGGGGAAAGGGATGCTAAACCCTCGGGTTGTGTTTTGTTTATTGTTTTTTCAAACATGTTCAGACAAACCGACCCAAATGGATCCCAAATGGCAAGGAAGGTTTCCAAATGTTCATCGATTGAGAATGATTGAGATAAGATGTGACATGCTCCTGAGTCTTTGACAAGTCTGATTGTGTGGTGTCCCCAGTTGTAACAATTTTGGAGAGGAAGAACCGCGAAGCTCGTCCAAAGGGGCGGCGAAGAGTTCCACAAGTTCCAGGGGTCTGGTCACATAATCTAGAAATCAAACGGAGCAACGGAAAACAAACAAATCATGAACAACTCATCTACATAAAAAAAAACGTATATATTTCTCTTAGAAATTATCATTGCCACCTTTCTTTTGAGGTCTTAACGGTCTTAACGAAACGTCAGCCCTTCCTACCGGCGCCTCATCGCATGCATCTGATCCTCAGGATGACATCTGGGCTGCCATAAACTTTAAACCTACCATTGACTGGGGATGGTTGGAATATGTTGGAAGAGCGCCCATAAAAAAGGCTGATGACTTGGGGATGGTTTATGACATTGGGTGAATCGCACCTTAGTTCAATAATTGGATCAAGGGAAACTCAAAGCGAAACGATGTGTTGTTGCCTGTGATTACAAGATATTACAAGGGTGTCCTGTAAGTCATCCAATCCCAGGAATAGGTCACACAATCTTCGCCTTTCTTGAAATGATTGGGCCCAAATATATAACCATCATGCATGGTGACGCTAGCTTTCGGTCGCAACAAATCGGTGCACTGGCTCGGCAAAAAAAAAGTAGAAGGGCATTGTATTCCCCCTCAATTAATCGTCATGAAAGGATGAATGTTCAGCTGCAAAATTGAGGTGTGCCATGGATCTGTCAAATTCCAACATGTTATATAAAATGATGATTAGAGGAGCGGCAAGAAGGTACGAGTAAATGAGATCTACGCTGTACTTCACCATGATAGATATACCAAGACCCCTAAGGACTAGCCTTTGATTTCATCATGGCTGCAAAGATTTCCTGCATCAAAAGTGTATGATTTGGTCAAACAACCGTCTAAGTCTACATCCATTGACTACAAGGTGGTGCCCCTCACCTATATGTTGGGTTATCACCCCACTATATAACCATAAATCCATCTACCATAAACTCTATAAAGTCATCGGAACCATAAACAAACTTAACGATTCGGAACTGGGGCACCTGGGGCAACGGGCACCTCTTTGTATTCTGGGATCCAACGCCATTTTTCCCATCCCATGAGTAATTAACCATGACTGGAGGCTGATATATACATCATGCCAAATAAGGGTATACCCAGTTTCATATTAAAACACATGGCATGATGTATACTGTCAGTGCCGGAATTATAGAACGGAAGTTGAGGAGTACGAAGGTACGGTTATTTACCATACCCTGTTGTATTCTGTTTTCCTCGGAAGGTATGGAAAAAAAAACGTATCTGAATTTACTCCTAACTTTTTTCGTCGTTCTATAATTCTTGTCGGAGCGCTGCTGTTCTATAATTATGTTTTCCCCCATTTTTCTCACATTTCCCATTTTCGTTCTATAATTAATGTTTCCCGGGCCCCGTTCTATAATTAATGTTTCCGGGGCCCCGTTCTATAATTCTTGTCGGAGCGCTGCTGTTCTATAATTCTGTTTTCCCCCATTTTTCTCACATTTCCCATTTTCGTTCTATAATTCCTGTCGGAGCGCTGCTGTTCTATAATTCTGTTTTCCCCCATTTTTCTCACATTTCCCATTTTCGTTCTATAATTAATGTTTCCCAGGCCCCGTTCTATAATTAAATTTCCCGACTCCGCGCGGAATCGCAACCCGGAGGAGTACAAAGGTACGGTATTTTACCGTACTTTTGTACTCCTGGCTCCGTTCTATAATTCTGGCACCCGCTGTACCCTTATTATATGATATACCACAATAGTGTTAATAACACATATTAACCCATCATACCAGCTTCATATTATTGACCACATAGTGGAATATGTGTTAAACTTTACCGCAACAATGGCCCAACATTTAGTGCTATAGTGATAGTGAGCGAAACGAGACTGGGTTATACCAATCGATCAACTTCCATTAAATCCCGGCAACATGAAAAAAACCTTGCGTACTTTGGTTAAAGGTAAATAAAATAAACCTCATTTAACCCAATGGAACACCGTTTTTGAGGACAACAAAACCACATATTGACAATCGAAAAATCAATATGAATATTAATGAAACGCTACTAATCATCGTTAACGGCTACCGGCTACCGCTATTCACCGGACCGTCCTCAGCATCTTGGGCCACCAACCTCACCATCGCAATGGTAGGATCAGAATAGAAATGGTGAAATTGTGATTATCACGTGCATATATAATAGAATAGTAGCCGAAATGCAGACAATATATCATAGAAATTATAATAGTGATATATTGCTATTGATTTTCAAATAACAGTATATATATATATCATTAATAGTGATACTATATACAATCACAGTAAATTTACTGGATTGGTTGAAGGGAAACATTTTAATATACAGTAAATCATGGGCTTCCCCATTTTATATAAGGGTTTCCTGTACATGTTCCCCCAGACCAATCCACTGATAATAGAAAGAGTAATATTGAAAGTACCCAATAGTAATTGATTGTCACTATCATCATCAATATCGCTACTCATATCATATTAATAGAATTGTGAAATAGTTATTTATTATTTTGTTTTTTAAGACATTAGTATAGTGATATTCACAGTGACAACCAAATACTATTCGTATATATATATAGTGCTATGGGTTGTCATATAATTCAGAATCAGTGATTGTCATCGGAAGTAAACATAGCAACAGCTATAATATTCATAGAGATGCAATGATATCAATTTTGGAAAAAACCAATACTGATACTAAGTATTGCAGACTTGTCAAAATAAACAATGAATCAAAAACTAATAAATAATAATAAACATACAGGAAATGGTCCTATCTATGGTTTACCGATAGGTGAATTCTATGGGGTTTATACACCGACAAACACAACTTGGTGGTGGGGGTTATACCCCAATCTATCTGACTATAGGTTGCTACAGCTTGACTTGGACCCTCCCTACCTGCATTTGCACCCTACTTACAGTCAAAAGATGTCAAACGTGGATACTCAATAATTAACCATCCTATAGCAAAGAAAATTGTGGAGTATTCGCGGATTTTGACAGGTCATATTTTATTGGCTATAAACAATTTACTCACAGGTTAGGAATCATGGGTGTAATGCATTTGATAAATGTCTTTTCTTGGGTGGTGACTTAATTCTCGGCGTTATTCTTGTACCACAGCAAAAGAACTAACTTATGATTATAACACTTTATAACTTACTAAGTCAAATCATCGTCCAGGGACCTGGTTATTTAACAACCCAGTGGGAACATCACCATCTTCGGTAAATCAAAAGACAAAATCAGCCAGTGCTTTCAGCGCAAGCTGTTAGTAACAACTAGATCACATTCCAACAAATATATAACATATCAGTTATATATGTGTATATATAATTGCATATGTCGATATCCAAGAACCCAAGTCTAAGTTGGTTTATAATATTATATAACATTATATAACATGTTATAAAACCATCTAACTGCTTCCATCCCGGGTCCAGGCCGCAGGACACGCGTTTGCCCTCGAGCTCCTCAGGCAAATAGAAGTCGCCCACCTGACAATTTCGGGATGTTCAGCCCACAAAGGTTTAACTGCTTTAACCAGCAAACATGGTGATTTAATGGGAAAAGTGGGATAATCATTGGATAATAACATGTCTATGGAAAACGATATTAATATTGGGAAACCCTCTGGTAAACTAACACTTTGGTATGGAAAATCACCATGTCTAATAGGTAAATCAACTATAAATGGCAATTTTCAATAGCTATGCTAAATTACAAGAGGGTATGGAGGTTCCCTAAGTTATTGGGGGTACCCCTAGTTATCATCCATTGATTCTTAGTAATATAGGAGTTTCCATGATATATAAACCATCCAGCTATTGGGGTATCCCCCTTTTGTGGAAACCACCATAAGCGTAGTATACTATAAGGATCATGTATTTTTACTACTGGACTCTAGTTTTATGAGATATAGGTCAACCAACAAAATATGGGATATGGCATGTGTATAAAACATCTGCAACACATTGGGAATTTGTATGACTTTATCATGATCACCTACAACGACAAGACACATGTATCAAACATCTGTAAAATATGTGGGGATAATGATAATGATACTTAAAACATGCACGTATACTACTTAGTTACTAGACTCCAAATATATGATATATATTGACATATATGATTATATATGATTATATGATGATATATGCAATAATCATTGATATGTATACAATAAATACATGTAAATACGTCCCCATCGACAATCAGCCCCAGCCGAGACCTCGGTGACCTGGTCCAAAGATTCATCGCCCAAAAGCGCCACCCATTGCTGGCCAGCTGGCCACCATCCGTGTTTTCCACGGAGGGAAAAAATGGCTGACTTATCATGATAAATAATAAATGATATGGCTGATATATGAGAATTATGATAATTATGATGTTATAATGATAATTATGGCTGACTTGGGGAATTATGATAATAATGATAATAACCCATAATTATCATATAATTTCCCAAGTCAGCCAGCAACCATCGCCAAAGGACGATCACAAATCATCACCTACTTTGTCGAGGACCCACAGCTTCCTCCTCACACGTCTTTCGTCATTATGAACGCATTGTGGCTGACGCGCAGCCAGGTTTTCGGCGCATATCCAGGATAAGGGCTCTGATTCAAGACCGTGAATCTCAATGGTATGGTTTTGTATTTTGGAATGCTTCTGCCTGGACAATTTTTGGGCGCGTCTGCTGGAAGAATCATATCTGTCCAAGGTGGACGTATAGGATCTCATCCTCAAATCGGCTCCGTCATGTACATGAGAAACTAGAATTGACAACATCTCAGCTCTCTCATCGGCCGCTTTCTAAGAAGCAAACGCCACCTGATTTGCAGACAACTGCTTGATTTCCTCAACGAAAGAGTGCCGGATATTCCGAATCCGCGCTTGGTTCACAACCACCTCTCCCCATAAAAACAATCATTTATCACGTGTATACCCATCATTTCTATATAATCATTAAAGTTAAAACATGTTAAAACTCCATATTTACTGGTTCAATCATGCGAATCCCCCCAACATACCTTCTGATAATCAAACATTGCCTGTTGGATTTACCAGCCAGCCACATTTGATGACACCGGAGGGTACTGATCAACAGAACCAGCATTATCATCCATCACCGCATTATCCTCATGGATAGAACATGCAAAAACTTCATATTTACTTGTTCAATCATGTAAAATATGTAAAATCCCCGAAACCCAAACATAAATTGGGAAAGTCACCCATAAATCATCCATACTCATTAGATTTTATTGGTTAATATTGGTTAAATCACGTCAAAAAAAAACCGAACTGATAAACTTCCAGGTCAGCCGGTTGAGATTCACAGCTCACCTGGATCCAGCCGTCGCCCCGATCGTGGCCAGGGACCTTTTCACCCCAGACCTCGGGCGGCATCCGACAGGTTCCTCGGGAAACCTGCCACTTGGTGCAGGTCCACATGTTTAAGTGGACTTATTTTGAAATGGATTGAAATGGATTTAAGATGATCTAAAGTGGTACCATAATTATTCGGCTTATATATCCCAACTTAGGTTACAACCAACTAAAATGGAGGATTTAATCTGATTTCATCAACACTAAATTTGGATTTGACATGAATTGACATTAGCTTAAGTCAACCAACTAAACCAACTAAAATTTCTATTTCAACAGGAAAACATGCCACTTCATGGCACCTGTTGGCAAGCGCAGTTGCAGGAATGGTTTGGTTCCACATCATGGTTACCCCGGGATATCTCATAGTTAATGCTGAGATCCTAATTTCAGGTGCTTCAATCATGTCAAAACCACTTTTTGTTATTAAAGTAAGTCCACCACTTTCATTTTCAATCGTCCATTCTTCAACAACCAGCCGTAACCAGCCGTAACCAGCCGTAACCAGCCGTAACCAGCCGTAACCAGCCATAAAAAAAACAACCACCCGTGGCATCTAGGGCCACCAGCCGCGGCTTTGCTCGGCACCAAGTCGTCCAGATCTTTCGAGCCCCGATAGCCCAAGCCTGGCACGGGAAATGGCGGGAACCCAGCAGGATGGAGGATGATTTTTGTTTCCAACAAATGTTGGGTTTTATGGTGAAATCATAAGAAATTGATAGAAATTGGAGCTGTTCATTCATGGATTTTCCAGTATTTTAGTAAGGGGTTGTGATAATCCTCAATATGATATAACGGTATAACATTGTATAATTCCATTTGATCATGAATCGAAAGGGGGCTGAACACTGCTCACATGTTGATTTTTACATACAACATGTGGAGATCCATGAGGTTACCCTCTGGTAACTTAAGCAGTAGCTATGGCAAATCACCTCTGGTTAATCCAGTGTTCTAATAGGTAAAACATCGAACTAAATAGCCAAAAGGGAAGCTAAGATACTGGAAACGGTAGAACCACCAATCATTGGGGAATAATTCCAGATTGAGGTGATGATGATGATGATGATGATGATGATGATGATGATGGGGATGGGGATGGGGATGGGGATGGGGATGGTGGCGGTGATGACGACGACAACGACGATGACAATGATGACAGTGATGACAGTGATGACGGCGACCAACAACTACTCTCTACACAACACGACTATCCTTTGCACTTGGCAAAACCTTCGGGAGCATTCGGGAGCAAGAAGGAATTGAGTGGCTATTTTGACAAATCAAAACATCTGAAATCAACCCTGGCACTTCACTAAAGAATATCGACAAAAATTGGTGTCGATCTGTCCCATCTGTACAATGAAGTCACCATAGGGGGTGTCACACTGTCTTCGACACAATTTCCGCATGAGCCTCACCAACCAGAAGAAGGCCAGCATATATTGCGCAGTATTTGTATAAATGTGGCGCTTTTAAGACAGATGGTATGACTATTCCTCCATAGATGGAAACACAAATAAGCCATTGTCCTATATTGTCCCATGATTCATGAATGCACACATTTGGGTTTGCCCAAACAATTGCACAATGGTCAGACAATTCAATGATATAAAGTGGACACATGGGGAGAATCCTTTCGAAATTGGGTGGTTCTATATGTGCATACAAGTTGGTGCCCCTCCCCAGTCATAAGTTGGTTTATAAACCCCATTAAGTAGTTCGATATATCCCCTATAAACAACAGTTATTGGAGTTATGTTCATCAACTTAGCTCCCATGAAAAATCCCCATTTGTTACCACCATGTTTCACCACCATTGGTTTGGCTTAAAATGATGGCTTCATCCAGGCCAGCTGCACCATAGCTTTGTGCTTGGAGTTGGGAATTGTCCACTAAGAACCACGTAGCCTGGCCACTGGGATCATGCTTCAACAAACCAACAAAGTATGACCAAAATCATGATAAATCAATGTATATACAATGTAATATATGATATATGTATATATAATGTAGTGATAAATTAATATATATATATAATGTAGTGATATATATATAGTGTATATAATGTGTATACTGATCATCTGGCAAGGTCATATTCACCAAAATTTTGGCAATGTTCACCAACATCATGGGGAAACAACAAACACGGATTTGAGCAAAACAAGCAAGATACATCCGGAGTTCACTGGGGATGCTGCTTTCTCAGACAACAAAACAACATGAGTCAATGAGGATTTTGCCAAAATAACTTTGAACCTATCCAAGACACAAAGCAAATAACATGTTGTCAATATGAAGCGCACGCAGCTTACATAAACAACAATAATAACAGCTAATACATATCTCACAAAGGCAAGAAGAAAAAAACACATAAATGCAAAGGTTCTGGGTCAAACCGGCAAATGTATCTGGGTATACCAAACATGGACTGCTTCTACACACAATTGGAGTGATCAACAGTCAAACATAGTCAAACAAACCGAGTATGGAGCACAGCTAGCAAACATTGGCGGAAATTGGTCTTTCAACTTTCAACAAATGGAGAACACAAACCATCTTCAATCCAAGTCGAGGCCAACGAATCGTTGAAGGTATAGGACCCCTGAAAAAGATAAAAATCCGATAGATAAAAAATACACACACACAGTTTTCACGGGACTATGCAGGACTTTTATATACCAACTTCTGCACCGCAGCCTCAAAGGGCTCGGCATCTTTGTCTTCATCCTGCGACATTTGAGGCTTTGGTGATTGAAAAGGTATTGGGGAAACAAACTGTTCATTCACTGAAAATATTGATCAAACTCAATCTTTTACCTGTACCAAACATTACCATGAATTCCGGTATACACTATATTTTCAACGAAGTCCATTTGGACATCCGGGTTTTTCCACATAGGGCACACCTCAACCATCCTAGAATAGATCAAAATAAAAAACCATGGACCCATGTAATGTAGCACATTGATCCATGTTGATCCATGTTGGACAAATTCGAATAGGAAAAATATCGAAAGATATCAAAGCAATGAACTTGGGTTGATATTCTGTCTGCTCAAGAGCACAATGTTGAATACCCAACGACCCACACATGTTGGCCAAGCCTCCAACTTGTTTCCACTTGCCCTAGCTCCGAATAATCAGTATATATTAATCTATAATCTATTGTACTTACAAGTAATATATTTATGATTATTTGTGATTATATAGATCATACACTGTGACTTCTCTACACAAATCCCTGGGAAAAACCACTATCATCACCCTGAGTGTCTCCCCAGGCAGCGACTCTCCTCTTTGGGTTGGAAGTCTAATGCAACGCAAAGGATCTGGAAGCGAGTGGCATGAAGCCATTTGGCGAGGTTTCACCTAGTGGAGATAAAAACATGGTGAATTTACTGAAATTGAAAGGTGCAATCATTGGACAATACATTTTGTCCTGCGGTTTTTCTACTATACCTAGAGACTCTAAATGCCATTTTATTTTTGCCTTTAAGGGAAAAACAACTTTGAATGGTAAAAGGTGCCTTCTCAAGCTTCCTAGCGTTTTCAAACCCGCGCCGGCAATTCTGGTTTGCAGGGTTTTGAAATAGTTATCCATTTTTCCAGCCGACGTCATTGCCCATAATTCTGCCGCAATTGCGCGTAATTCAGGCGTAGTTATTGGCCGCAATTCCGGCATAATTTTCAGTAGGTATCTTTTCTGTATATATTTTGTTGTTTCAACATACATCTGTATTTGAATCGCTCCGGCGTTTTTGCGGAATTCCGGCAATGGTACAAGTTCCCGGCGTAACTTCAACAAATTTTTGCCTCCGGCATTTTGTTTGCCAGAAAGAGTTTCTAGGCATAGGTTTGTTTGGTCTTGAAAAGCCGGTGAACTTGCAAAGGTGGGTGATAGTTGTGGAAAATTGCTTGACTACGTCATCAGCAACACCTTTTCAAGACCTATGACATGGTGTAAGAAAGCTTTGGCATTGCATTGATTTTCAGGTCTACTTCTTGTAAAACAAATGAAAACAGTTGTTCGCTTCCATTCACCACACATGTGAATGTCTGAAAATATGAGGGCCTCATATCCTCCCTTGAATTTGATTTCATATTTCTAAAAAGAAACGTTCAGCCCAATCATTTTGGGATATTTCACGTTGCCATCTGGTGGTTTTTCAAGCGTCCCAAACTGGAGGTAAGCGGGGTATTCCGTGGCACACTCAAGGTCATTCGTATGCGATTTACAACATTCATCATCATATGACTATATATATATATTTATAGCTGGATGTTTGGCCGGAACACATCACTATAGGCAATTCTTTACCCCTTTCATACTTATCATACACACTTCCATGACTCTGCAAGGAATTCATTCATTCTTTTTCATTCCAGATTCATCCATGAAAAAGATTCGGAATCTTCCAGATTCCTTGCAGAATTCCATTCCAAGCCATTTTTATGAAAATGAATCTTTCTTACCATATTCCAAGCCAAACTCAGATGTGGTGTTTACCCACCATTTGTCGATGATCAAAACCGCTTTCCGACTCCGCGACGACTCCGTGGGCCTGGAGCGCTTTGTCCACCATCTCCTCCTGGAGACAACTCACCCGGCGGCGTTTGGTGTTGTAGATCAGTGCTGTATATATATATATAATTGTATATAGTTGTAGTGATTAATAGTGATATAGTTAACACTATGTCACTATTATAAACAATATATATATATAGATCATTAGTGATTTGTTCATTAAATTATTAGTGATCTATTCTATTAGTGATTACAATCAATAGTAACACTGTAGATTATGAGTTATATTTTATCAATCAGAGTTAAGAATCACTGTTAAATATCACTAATATGGTTATAAATATCATAAAGTGATATACAACATTATTAGATATTGTATATATATATATATCTATCACTGTGATATGAAGTAATCAAAATCTGTGTTATACCAGTGTTATCTGTGATATAAAGTAATTAAAAAACAGTGATTACTTGGTGATTAGTGACTATCATATAATCATGCTTTAACCAGTGATTAGTGATTGTACCTAATATATCAAATATTTTGGTAACCATAGTGCCATAGTGTATCAAGAATTAGTGACATCAATAAGCAACATAGCATGGCAATTAATACTGGTAGTTTTATACGATCTGTTATATTATGTTATTTAAATGATTTGCATATGTGTAAATATCTGATATTCAGTGTGATATACTATCTATACTGATAAAACAAACTGATACTAACTGATACTAAATGATGTCAAATGATACTAAATCGCATTTGCACTGGGGACCAATTTACCAAAATGGTGGACAAATACATTAGTGACATACCTACTGAATGTTGATGTCTTCTACATCATTAATTATATATATACACATGGGAAAGCCGCTCCTCCAATATGTTGGTATCTAAATTAAACATGCTTAAACCAGGAGTTATATGGATTTGTTTACCTGATCCAAAAATCAACGAAACAAGTGGCACATTCTCTTTCGCCATCACCGTGGATACCTCCTTCTCAAGCTTCCACACGCACAGAGAAGCCCATCCGCCACAGATTGAAATTTTGCAGCCAAGGGAAGCCCTGCAAATCCACATCCACAGTTTCCGGTGAGTGGAAAAGGTCAAAGCCAAAGCTGACATCATTTTCCACTGGTAAGTCATCATTTTCCCGCATTTTTAATGGCGATCAACGGGCTCATATATACATCCTGTTATCACATTGAGATTGTTCTATAGAAAGTATGTGTATATATATATGTTACATAGATATATGTGTATATTATATATATACCATATATTTCTGGTATATCTTCATGTGGTGTTTTGCCCATTATGAACCTACTGTTAACCAATGAATACATATTCATATCCAATTCAATTCCAACTAAATCCTCATGACCATTAACCCACTATTCAGCCATTAATATATCCATGGCAAAGCCCGAAAAAATGCCTAAAAGTTGGAAACCTGGGAAATATGAGCTAACTGAGCTAACTAATTAATATCTATCCCATCCTGGAAACACTGTTCTATGTTTTCAGGGAGTACTGTAGATCCTGGCAATAAAACCTCAGTCACACCTTCAAATACCATGCCTGCAAGCCGCCGCTGAAAAAACTGCCGTATGGCAAGCCGCGACCTGGGAATTCACCAATGTTGGATGGCTGGATTAAGCAAAGAAAAGTGGAACTTCACCACCCAACATGAGAAAAGCATGGGGATTTAACTGATTTAACCATCAAAGACGGGAACATGGCTATTTCATCAATGGGAACATGGCGATTTTTGTGAAAAGCCACCAGTTTCAAAAGGCTGGTAGGATCTGGAAGGTTTTTGGCACGACCGTCCATTGGGAGACGTGATGAAATTGATCATGCACATATTATATAAGCTAATATAAACATATATTTTTTGTATATTGAAAAATATATGGCAAAAAATATAGAAACAAAAATATATGAAGATATTTCAAAAAAATCATGATTCTTTTTGTTTCCAACATTTTCAGATCAACCCATGTTGAATACTTTCAGGAACCAAATGGCAGGTTTCAAGAATGTAGTGATAGAGATCTTGAAGCCTCCAAACTCTCAGCACTTATTATACTCTTGGGTAATATATAATTGGATCGAGAGAATATATTATCTCTGCTTTCTAGCCGCTAAGGTCCCATGCCGGACTGAGGACAGCTCCCCCCTGGGAAAACACATCAGAATTCCAAGCATCGCAGTCCCTCCTAAAAGAGCTATATAGAATTAGAAACCCTTGCAGCACTACAGCACTACTTAGAAGCATTTAATGGCAAATTCTTCGGGGACGGGAGCCTTTTTTGGAGGCTCTTAGCTAGAATATCTTACCCGGGGGTGCATCGCAGTCATTCTTTGTTTGATAGCGTACATATGGATACTGTATATATATAAGATATCTATATCTGTATATATATAGGTTAATTATAGGTTATATAGATATATACATGAGTTATATTATATATGTATATAAGTTATAATACATATATATATATGCTATATTTATATGCTATATAAATATATATTATATATACGTATGCTATATATATATACATATGTTATGTATATATATACACGTTATATAGATATATAAGTTAAAATTCAATATATATATATATACACAAAAGTTATATATATATATGTTATATTTGAAAATTATATATATATAACTATGTTATAAATTTATATATATTTATATATGTTATATAAATATAAGTTATATATATATGTACATATATATATAAGCTCTATATACTGTATAAGTTGTATATCTATATTATATATACACATATACACACTATATATCTACTACTTTATATATATATAACTGCGCCAAATTCACATATATCTGGCTTAAGTTATGACTCACTTACGGCCCGACTTGCTAGGCGAGGTTTTTGGAGACATTTGTCGTGGTTCCCTGGGTCCACCGGACCAACCGGGTCGTAGCTGCAAATCGTTGCCCTGAGACGCGGGGTCATCCGGCCAGTGGTGTCAAGCAACCAGCTAGCAGTGGTGCTTGTCCATAGATATACTTAAACTATGTTAAACTACCAATTGGGGTAATTCAGTATAATCTTCCAAATCTTGAGGATTTCTGCGCTCTCAGACTTTGAGGCAACTCATGCAGAGGTGTCGGTATAGGGTCGTCCTCTATCGGTAGGGAAGATGTTGCACACCTCCCAGCAAGGCCAAGGAGAAGCAAGACTAAATTGGTCTTACAATACATTTGGCGGTGCTCATATGAAGATTAATACGCTGACTTTCCATTGTGCTGATTTATTTCAAGGCTGGATTCTAGTTTGGGCAATGCACTCAACACCGTGCTGTCTCAAGGCAGTACTCATCATTTTGTTTGGCAAAAGACTCCATCATTCAGTCAAGTCAGCTAGCACACTGGTTTTCAATATCAGGAAATATCATGAGCTGAAGAAATGGAACAACTTTTTTTGGAAATTCTTGGTGATCGCGACCTATCCCAAAATTGTAGGGCCAGTTGGAATTCTATATCAATCATCCAAAGTTTCCTATGTGCTGCCCCCAGTTGTAAGGTGTCTTATAACGCTCATTCACATTTTATATATATATATACACTATACATATTTATATATATATATACATATGCATATCTACCACAGTTAATTATTGGAGTTTGATCACATCGCCACCTCTATGGCCAGGTTTTTGCCTCGAGATTCAAACCAGTGGAGATGTGCATTCATCGACAGCACCCTGACCCTCCAGTTGACCAGCTATCATTACAAAGCAGTTTTGCGGCTGTGAGGGTCTACAGGAGCCTAGGGCTTCATACACACCCATCCATTTTCCCACCACGATAAAGGCTACAACGAAAGGACGCAACGAAAGGACAAGGCTCATCCCCTCTCATTCCACTAGTTGATTTCTACATACAAGAAATTTCCGCAGTAAAGCTGGAAAAAACCATGGTAGTATACAAGATATGCCCACCTTAACAATTACCATCATCAGCACCAAAACTCACTGAACTCCTAAGGTCCGGACATTAGACTGCAAAAGAGGTTTGCTGTATGCGCCACCTTCCGCATGAGATCCGCTCGGGTAGGGGTATGGGTTGGATGGGTACCCTACCCATTTCTGGTAAGTCATCAAGGGCAAATGTGGTATGCTTGATTCCTAAATTGCGCTTACCACATGAATTGTCTGAAGATGACAAAACCTGATATATGTGTCCATTAAGTTTCCAAAACAAATCAGGGAAGTGTTCGCAGATAGTTTTCCAACGATGGATCTAGCTGCTGAGAATTAAGGAGTTTAGTTTTTTTGAAGTTGCATTCATGGCTCGGTTCACGATCATTATTGACATATGTCATTCTCATGTTTATAGTGTATCACCATGATGGTATACAAGGTAGTGCCCCCCCCAGTTGTATAATATATAAGTTTCTTCGCAACCGCCATTAACTAGATACATACTATTTATCTACCAATATCGTCCAATATCTACCATATTGAATTTACCTAGTTATTTCCTGTGGTGTTGGAACCCCAACAGTGCTGTAGGCAAATCTGTAGAGTTGGACAAGCGAAGGTACTTTGGGGTGCAGTTGGCTTACTTTGATTGGAAATCAGTGGGGTTACTATGGGAATACATGGGATCTTATGGGATAACAATAGTAAAACCGTCTCCAATCGGGTATTAATATATATATATATTTATGATATAACCATGGTATCTTTTTAAACTATCTCCAGTTGAGATATGAGCCCATGGGGCCCCTATGACTATGGTGTAATATATTCAGGTATTTGAAATTCTATTTATAAGTGAAACTGCACCCCCGGTAACGGTTGCAGATCCAGCCGTAGTTCTGGCCATAACATGCACTCATCTATGAGTTCCATATGTAGATTGTGAAATTGTACCCCCAAACATCCAACACTGTTTAAACAACTTTAAACCACCAGCCCCTACTGTTTCGAACACATCATTCCCATCCTTTTCGTGGATCAAATGGTTCACCAATGCATCCCATCTTGGACTCGATCTGCAGATCGCCATGTTTGCTTGGTCATCTCGGGCCCGCCCAGAGACTGTATGGCAGCCGTAGGGCGTAGCAATTGCTACAGCCTGCCTATATCCTAAGAGGATCTAAGAGATACCATCTCCATGTGGGAATTTAAGGGACGCAGTTATGATTGTCGGTTACCAAAATTATCTGAATCTGGATGCATCTGCCTTCTGTCTACCTTATGATACGGCATCATACAAAATATACTATGGATAATACCCTTACCTAAATATACGTATATATATGTATATTAAATAAATATATATATATATTAAATAAATATATATATATATCTACAAAATAAATATTATATATAATAATTATAATATTTATAGTTATAAATACATGCGTGGCACCTGTATGAAATTTGGGCATCTCCTTTCATCCATTTCCCTCATGGAGGTGGAATTTCGAGGTTCCACTATAGCCCTCCTCAGGAGACCCTTCGGGGTATTCCACCGAGGAGGGCAAGAAAAAAAACGCAAAAACAACAACAAAAACGGTATATAAAACTTACAGGCTGAAGAACGTTTTTTCGCTCTCATCTTCATGCACTTCACGAGATTTATCTCCAGAACTCGACACCAGAGCTGAAAAGGCGCCGTCGCTTCGCAGCAACTCTTTGGGCGGGCCGAACTCCACCACTTTACCTGGCTCGACGCTTCACATAGGAATAGGCTGTCATATGCTGTCATTGGATATCAATGGGCCCACCCACTTGGTCTATTTTGCGATTGAACCAACCATTTTTGAGGGCTGATAATTTGACCAAAGCCAAATCTGTCCATCGTCCTTCTATTTGTATCTATTTGTATGGATGCGCCAAACCAATGGGAGGTTTATGAGGGGTATCCCAGAATCCCGTGGTTGATATATTTTTTCCCCATTGACATGTCGATTTTGGGCGCCCACTTAGACTAAGGGTCTCAAACAAATGAAAGACATTCCATATAGATTTCCCAAATGATGGATTTACCGTTGGGAAGATCAAAACATCACCTTAAACAAACCCAGGCCCATTTCTGGACTTAATATAAATCTGGGTGAGATGGCGTCAGCTGCTAAATTTGAGACCGCCAAACTGCTCCCCAATTCATCTGTCCCTGAACAGGATCAAGCATCAAAGTGGGCCTATTCTATTAGATATTAGGAACAACAAATCGGAATACACACAAGTTGAAACTGGTGGGGCTAATTGCACAAAAGGAGCACCGTTCCAAACCCTCTGTCATTCCATTCATGTACAGCAATTCTGGTAGTATAATCCCCGAACTAGTCATCATCCAACCATCCTTTATTAATGGAGATTCCCATGTTTTTGGTAGTTCAAACATTTAAATGATATACAGTATATATATATGTAATAAAGATCATATATATATATATACATGTGTATATATATGATCTAAAACTAATAGGTGTATATATATAATATAAATAATATGAAATATAAATAATATATAGTATATAATGTAATTAATATATATATATACAGAGAGAAAAATATGTGTATATATATATATATATGTATATATATTACAAATAATATATGTAATATCAATTAAATAAATAATATAAATAATAAAAAAACACATCGCATACTATAAATAATGACATATAATAAAACAACATATGATATGATAAAATAAAATATGAAATAATATAACATAATATAGAATAATAAAATAACATCAAAAATATAATATAACATATAATCATATAATATAATATAATAGATTCTAATATGGTATAATAAAGCATAATAAAATATATCATAATATATATATACACATATTACAATACATATATATATATATTATAATATAAATACTATATACAATATATATGTTAATATACAATAATATATATATAAATGTGTATATATATATAATATGTTGTAATATCAATAATATATGTGATAATATGTGGGATACTTTATATGATAATATATATAATACAATAAACATATATATATAATATAATATCATAAAATCTAATATAATATAATACAATATAATATAATATAATAGAATAAATACAAAATAAAAAAATGTATAATGATAATATATACATAATATACTATATTATATACTATATATTATATATAATAATTAAAAAATAATAACTAAATAATAATTATAAAATAATTATACAATGATAATACTGATCTATACTGATCTAATAATAATAGTAATATTAAATAAAATTACAATGCTACAATCAACACTGAATAATTTATCAACCAACAGGGGTCTAGTCTAGCAGCCACTGCTCAAAGACTAACGCCGTCCAGTTGCCTTTATCCAACACTGCAAGCTGATCATAGTCCATGATTGTTTGCAAGCGATGCGCGATGCAAATCACTGCGCAGTCTTGACAAGCTGAACGAACAGCCTGCTTGCTGGGTCCATCTTCATTCCAGGCTGCTTGGGATGAAAATCTGGAGTTCCTATTCTGTTTAAGTAATGTCATAAACTCAATAATCTATAGGTAAAATATGATGAGTCACTATTCCTGAAATCAGGTTATTTGAAGTTATTTCGGGGAGAATTTCCCTTAATTACTAAGCATGATTCCAGTGAGGTCGCAGTGAGGTCGTTAGGATTTACCCAGAATAAAATACCTACCATTTGGGAATGGTTTATGGCACTGGGTTTAGGCTTTACCACATTATCCACAAAGAGATTTGCAATCATGATGCTGCCTCGTCTGAACATGGGGTACGCCCAAAAGGTTAATCTCATTTGAACTCATTTCTCCAATTCAAACGGCCAATTCGTGGCATGTTTAGATTGATCAATTTCGGACAAATCCATGGCATTTCCGTCCCATGTGGACAACACGGAGAACGCCTTCTGCACCTCCGAATCTGTGTTCATGTCTACATTGGCAGTGCATTCATCAAGAAAAACAATTCTCTGATGGGCCATCAGAATGCGCGCGATGCAAATCAGCTGAACAGTTCCAGCCGAAAAATTGGAACCCTTCCTGAGATGGAGCTGAGCTGAACATGGAGCTATTGCCGCGGAAAAGATCTGATTAAGTGATCCTGGGGATGCCCTAAAAAATGACGTTGCTATGGAAAACAACAGCATTCTTAATAGGTAAATCATCATCAATCATCTTTGAATTGCTATTTTCCATAGCTATGTTAAATAAACAGAGGGTAATTTCAACTTAATACCAGCATATACCAGCAACATACCAGGGCCATTGATTATCTGGGTATGAACTCTGACAATCTGTCCATTTGTGCTGACTACTTGCTGGATGCACATCTCCCGCCATGAGCCGATAGGCCAATGGCCGAACAAAATCAACCAACAAATCACTTGTATAGGTTGTGTCACCTGTTGAGCAAAATCCCCCTATCCATCCCTTAACAGCATCCTAGCGTCTCTTCGACAGGTTCGTCCAATTTCAATGGCATATCCATCACCAACCGATCAAGCCGTGCCAAGCGCAACGCTGCCCAGATTTCTTCATCGCTGTGATGCCCCTGGAAGTCCAGATTGAAGCGCAAGGTTCCCGAAAACATCAGGGGATCCTGTGACAGCGCACGGCGCGGCATGACCAATCCTGAATGTTTCACTGGTTTGTACATGTCCTCCATTTGCAACGAAGACAGCTTAACCAAGGTCTAGTTACAGGCTTGTGATACAGTAGGTTCCTGCAAGTCCAGAGAGAATTTTGGTGGAAAAGAGAGAGTTGAATGAACTCGTGCAAACCAGAGCAGCTTACAAAAACAAACTCCATTGCAAGGGGTGATTGCAACCCATCCCATTCTTGTGGCCAATTGGATGGAGCATCAACAATTTGATTTAAACCACCATTTTTTCGTGTGGATGCGACCTAAGCGCCATCAAAGAACCCAGAACAAAGAGTGCTTTTAATCGCCACTGTCCAGGGTCAGTAGATAGTCTGTATGAGGAACCTCTTCCGAAAATCATCCACACACCATCGAAATTAAGGTGGATACGGGTAAACAATCCACAACTTGGGACCTACAATTTGAGCTGGTCACTCTTGGTATTCAACCGGAGCCTAGTGAGCCAAAGGCTAGCCAGTCTAGTAGTCAAAGCTGACCTTTAGCCCTTACAATCTCATCTAAAAATGAATTCAGCTCTGTTTAGCGTTGCGCCTCTCATTATGAAAAAGACCCTTTCTGGTTATTATGTATATATATATATGTATACATACACCCTCCGGCATTTACCATAGATATAGAATTCCATGGCTTTCTCAACAGGAACAATTGCCTCTGGGGTCTAAGCCGCTCCTGTGGTACGATTGCCAAGTTGGATCGCAACTCTGGGAGCGTCAAGGATGTGACACCTGGGACACTGGTGAAACACCAAAATGTCTGGACTTTATGGATGTTCATCCCTCAACAAACAGGTAAACTAAGGTAACTAAGGTGTCTAAGTATTTAACATTATTTAACTATATAAGGTGTTGAACTAAGGTGTTTAACTGTTTAACTGACCAAATCAGGTATACTAGGAGTTTAACTCTTTGAACAGTCAAATTAAGAACGTAATCTTTGGTTTCACCCATTATTATAGTCCCTTTTTCTTTACCTGTGTACAATAATTGTATAATATAGTTGTATCCCAATTTTTACATGGTAAAATCCCAACTGTTTGCCAAGTGATGGTCTTTCCCATCTATTCTCAGTATATCTGGATACTTGGCAATAATTCACCAACCTGACAAGTTCGGCCATTTCAAAATTATGCCGCAATTATGCCTCTATTCAATGGATTGGTGTAGGGGAAAATTTACAGCCCCAGATTTCATGGGAAGTTTCCGGTGAAGATTTTCCCTTGAACCAAGCCATTGATCTATCACCATTCTGTTACCATCATGGCTTGGAGTCGTTGGCCCATTCCACTCATTCCACCTGTCAGATCTCGACCAAGGCACTACGACCCCAGATCTCGATATCACCTGCATCCATCTCCACCAAGCCTAGCGTACCAGGACATGACCTTGTGGTTTAACGGTTTAACCACCTTGAAATACCACAAAATCATAATAATTATATCGTTTAAGCATCATGAAATACCATGAACTTTGGGGTACAATGACATTGGAGTTTAGCAACCCTCAAGTAGCATAAGAATAGGCTTTCACAATTTCAAAAAAAAAAATCTGCACGTTTGGGGCTTACCTTTGATCTTCGTTCATCTCAGTTCAAGTCGCCTCTTCTCACCCAGTCTCACTCTCGTTCCACTGGTACCACGGTAGGTTGTTCACCAAAGGCTGCAAGGATAAAATCTTAGAACCTGTTTGACCACCATAAAATACTTTCGCCAACATCAATCACATGGAATTGGGTTTGACCACCATGATGGCTTTAACCACTACAGTATGAACTACCACGAAATTAGGGTATAGTCAACATAAAATACAATGAAACCGGGTTTGAACGACCTGAACAAACCATAGATTTTGGGTTTAACCAGCAACATAGCATATGGTGGTTGAAGGGGATGTCTGGTATTTTACCGGTATCATTATTGTGTGATCGTGACGATAATGACGATAATGATGAAGATGAAGATGAAGATGATGATGATGATGATGATTATGATAATGATGATGACGATGACGACTCGGAGAAAGATAGTGCAACATGCAATGTGATAACCGCACCATAATTAAACACAGAACAGGGTTCCCAGAAATACCGATACACATTCCAATAAAGACTGTAAAGCAAACAGGGTAGGACTTGAGTCCCACTTTGCCAATAGGCCGTGTCAACTGATTGCTCATCCGTCCGGAGCGTATCTGGTGTTCTGGATTGTGTTTCCGTTGTTCCCAAGGGGCTTTAAGACTTTAACGCAGTCTTGCTCAAATTGTTATCTGGTCAATAATTTGAACCTGTCTAGCGTCGTTTTTCATAATTGTATGTATATATCAAATGATTATATATGATTATAATGTTCAAAATGTCATAATACTAACATATCTATCCACTTCAAAGAACCTTATAGGAACCATATAGAACCTATATTTTCCAGCTGGCCTTGCTGGTTTTGTTTTATGATTTCCACCCATTTCTCCCCCAATTTTAAATGGTGTTCAATCATCTGTCGGAGGGAACATCCTAGAATAGGCCTGAATTTTTTGGAACTTGGTTCAAGTCTAAGTTCACCACTTCCCCAAGCGAAACAAGAAACGAAAGCAGGCCAGAAATAGGGTGGACTTTCCACTGCCCGTCCGACCGCATATGCCAATTCGCTCTCCTCAAGCCATAGCCATGAAAAATGGATCATCATCGTTTTGTTTCCCCCCGATGAAAAATGTTTGGTGGGGCTTAACCAATTTTTCTTACTAACATGGTATTGTCATGGTATATATATATACTTATAAATAGTTCTGGATAAAATATCCCCGCTTGCAATATTTGTGTTCAAAGTGTTCAAAACATGCAGGTCACGAAAGAATGTACATACTGACATCAAGCAGAATGAAAAATACGTGCTTTTACAAATGTCACAGTTCACCAACATTCAAAAAGTTACACTATAGAATTGTGGATGGGACTTTTGCACAGAAGGATTGTTCCAGGGGATCGAACGATCGTATCATCAAGAGTCCCAACCGGTGCAACTGTCAGCCATGTAAAAATCGAATACATCAGCCAAAACAGAGTCAGAAAGTAGGACATTTTGATGGTGAATTTTACATCAGAACCAGTTTTAGTTTCAACCATAATGTCAATTCTGGATTAATACACCCCAAAAAACTGTTGAATTGGGGGGGTACCAATTAAGTATCATCGGAAATCACTATTCTTATTGGGTACCCCCATGATTATATACATGGTTTTTCATGGTACCATCTAATGAACTAATAATGCTTTTATTTCCCCAATATAATCTCAACCATGGTTGATGAATCCAGGGTTGGCCTTCCCTCCCCTGCCCCCAGGCCGGCAGCAGCGAACGAGTTGTGTCCTGCGCGCACCGTCAAGTTCAGACCGTTCAAGACCAACGGAAGTCCAGGCCTAGTGGGAATGAAGAATCAGCAAGAATGGGAATACAACAATATATAAATTTGATATAATATCTATATGTATGTATATGTATGTATATGTATGTATATATGTATGTATATGTATGTATATGTATGTATATGTATGTATATGTATGTATATGTATGTATATGTATGTATATGTATATATATGTATGTATATGTATGTATATGTATGTATATGTATGTATATGTATGTATATGTATCTATATGTATCTATATGTATCTATATGTATGTATATGTATGTATATGTATGTATATGTATGTATATGTATGTATATGTATGTATATGTATGTATATATGTATGTATGTATATGTAAGTGTATGTATGTGTATGTATGTGTGTTGTCTATGTATGTATATGTATGTATATATGTATGTATATGTATGTATATGTATGTATGTTATGTATGTATATGTATATGTATGTATATGTATGTATATGTATGTATATATGTATGTATATGTATGTATATGTATGTATATGTATGTATATGTATGTATATGTATGTATATGTATGTATATGTATATATATGTATGTATATGTATGTATATGTATGTATATGTATGTATATGTATGTATATGTATCTATATGTATCTATATGTATCTATATGTATGTATATGTATGTATATGTATGTATATGTATGTATATGTATGTATATGTATGTATATGTATGTATATATGTATGTATGTATATGTAAGTGTATGTATGTGTATGTATGTGTATGTATGTATATGTATGTATATATGTATGTATATGTATGTATATGTATGTATATGTATGTATATGTATGTATATGTATGTATATGTATGTATATGTATGTATATGATATGTATGCATATGTATGCATATGTATGCATACGTATGTATAGGTGTATATATATATATACATGTATGTATATGTATGTATATGTATGTAAATATATGTATATGTATGTGTATGTATGTGTATGTATGTATATGTGTTGATTATGTATGTATATGTGCATATATATATATATATGTATTGATTATATGTATATATATATATATGTATTGATTATATGTATATATATATATATATATATAGAATCAACCATATGATGAATGGGAAGTCCAGGATTGGCCGATGGGAAAATCGGGGTCTATGCTTACGTACCTGACATCGGGATATTCAACCTCCCAAAAAATAGAACGATGCTTTAAGTTCAATGGGATACATTCCTGGAAGTAAATCCCAACCAGGATTTTTCTCTGGGATTTCAATGGTCAAATATAGTACAGTAAACAACATCGCTGTGCTTCTAGAATTATGGTAAAACATTATAACAAATTATAAGTATGGGAAAATCAAGTCAATACAAACAAACAACCATGCATATATATATATATAAATACACATGTACTTGAACAGTGTCAACTCCATCCTGGACGCTGAAAAGAGTCCAACATTTGAAGTCTCTACTGCAACGCCGAGAGGCTGGTATCTCAATGACACATCCTTCATGACAAGCGCCAACTGACTACCTTGGACACCGGTGTGGTTTGCCAAAGAACTCTGGTGGTTCGGTGTGATGGTTTCAGCAAACGGATTTTCACTGTGGCATCTCACTATACAGTATATGCCCATGATTTGAAGCGTCAAGCCAAAAACACAAGTCAAGTTCCAGGTACTGCTTTGCAAAATTACAATCAACAAATCATTCCTGCCAAAACATTCAACAAACGCATCAAACACCAAGCGGGGCCCTAATGTACTTTCGTTGGATTGATGCCTCTTCGCCAACTTTGGCCACCAGCTTCATCGCAGTTCATCCAAAGGTACTTCCCCCAATCATAGATTGCAGATGGCGAATAAACACATATTATCCATTAGTTATTAGTAGTTGTTGGTGGTCTATCCTGTCAATAAACCTTCATGACCAGGGTTTAAACATGTTTAAACCAAATTCCAGGGCTTGGTGAAATCCCACAGCATAGGAAGAAAGCACCAAGCCTTGGTCTGTCAGTGAAGGTTGGTCATAGGCCTTCTTCCAGTCCTCGTGATCCTTCCAAAAGAATGGGCGCAACGTCGGAGTCACATGAAAGGTCTAGAGGTTGTGCAACTGTATGAGTCATGTGCATATATTCATATACATCTCTCTCTATATATATGTAAATATATAAATATGTATACATATATATATATATATGTATACAAATAGTCTGTAATGCACAATTGTAAACGTCATAACTTGTGCCCTCTGATTATTTGTCACATAGCTGGAGAATCCCCAGTCTTAATGGGTAAATCATCTATTTCTGTGGGCCATGGCTTCCATAATCATGTTAAATTACCAACGTAACAACTCACACCTGTCCCGGCCTTCTGCGAACCTTCCCATTTCAAGGCAGCATATTCCGCGATGCGTTGAGCCGCACCGAAGAACTTTTCGAAGGTGCTCCAGCACCAGAGGTACAACACAAGGCGCCTCGGGAACGTTTTTTTTCATGGTTAATAAACCCAAGTGCTTGGCAATGGAAATGTCAGGACAGAATGGAGGCATTACCCTACAAAGCCAGATTTATAAAGCAAGATTCTGGGGGATGTTGAATGAGGGTCAAAAACCCTTCCCATAAAACCCAAATACTCTTGCAGGGGGTCACCTTTGCAGGGGTCACATTAGATTCCCATGAATATTGTTGTTTATATATATATATATGTATTATATACATATGTATATATATATATATGTATATATGTAATTATATATACACGCTTGAAAAATCCATATATATATATATATATATGATTATATTTGTATATATGTACTTCTATATATATATATATACTTAAATATATATATATACACACTTTTAAATAAGTGTGTATATATATAGAGTTATATATATATACTTACATATATACTTATATATATACTTATATATATACACACTTTTACACATATATATATACTTATGTTGTTTTACTTATAAGTATATTTAAATACTTGTATATATATATATACTTATATAAGTACACACATATATATATACTTATATAAGTACATAATTATACTTATATATATATAAGTATATATATATATAAGTATATATATAAGTATATATATAAGTATATATATATAAGTATATATATATATATCATTCTATAGAATCATCCTGAAGTGGATAGATAGAATGAATTTGTCAATATCCCATTGTTGTGAAACTTCTCTGAAATTGGCATATTCTACTCCTGAATGACTGTATATAGACAGGCCAACTGAGAATCCGTATCGGTTCAATCCTTAAAGTCCTATGCTTAGCCATGACTTTTGTTGGGCCTGGGTACGGTATACAGATGTATACAATATACTCTCATAATCTTCCGTAATCAAACATAGCAATTGAAAATACCTATAAATGGAGGTTGTAGCTGGGAGAATGACCTATCAATGACGGAGTTTCCGGCTAGCCAGGTTTGATTACCGGAGGGTATCCCCAACAAAAAACTTGAAATCAATCTCAAAGCAGGCATGGCAAATCAGCCTGCCCACATGGTTAATGTGAATCACCATATTGTTGTTGGATGAACGATCGATTTACCACCCTCTGATTTTGGTCGTTTGCCAAGACTCACCCAACCATGAACCACCCCACATTGGGCCCAACACGATTTGTGATATAATCCCAATTGCCAAGTACCCCATATGGCTTTGTCTGAAAATAGGATACCCCAAAATCCACCGGTTTACCATTGATTCATATTATATACAATGGCAATAAACTGGTGGTAAATCGGGTACTTTCAGACACAGCCAAATATAACATTGAGTTGGTTGTATGTCCCATATCCCCATTATTGTCCCTATTCTATCCCCGTAAGTTAAACTGGTATCCCATACAAAGTGGTGCCCCCCGGTTATGCGTGTTGGTTTGTTTGCACCCCATGACAGACATTACATATATCTACGTCCAAAGACTATTGAATTTAATTATTTATTCATGTATTTATTTATTTATAAACCAACTTAGCCATCTAGGGGGCCCCATCTTGTATTGCCATATTTTCCACGTGTATATATAAGGCATCAATTTTTCCCAATTAATTACTTGGTAAATATCAACAGTTAAAACATAACTGTGAAAAACCAACCATTTGTAGATCATGTTCAAAATGGGAAACAGTGGTTTTCCACATCTTTTTCTATGTTTACCAAATAGAAAGCACGACTAGCTGGAAAATTCCATAATTTCGTTCGACGAATTTCCAGCTTTAAACCTCCATTTTGTGCGGGGATTTCCCAGGTCGCCACGTTTTTCTAATTATTATCGATGTCACCGGAGGTATATTCTCAGTATATCTCTATTATCATTCCCTTTGAATACCGAATCACATCAGTTATTTTCCCTTTAAATCACTACTCACCACCATTATCGACTATTATTCACTATTATTTACCATCACTAACCATTGACAACCAGTATTGAACATGATTAACCCAATAAATCCCGATTTGGGAAACCCATGGAAATCCCATATAAGATCCATCTTCAAATGCCGATAAATTCTCTATGAAACCCTCATTCTCCTATTGAAACGTCCATTTTTCTAGGGGTTCCGGGAAATCCCCCAGGTTCACCAAGGACTCCTCCATCCCCGGGCCAGGTCACTGCGCTAGGCCGATGGACAGCGCCAGCGCCATGCCACCCAACTCAGGCGTCAGCATCTCGAAGGACACCAGCGACAGCACCGCGGCGCCCAGTGACAGCATCAGACAGGGGACGAAGAAAACGCTGAAGATGCTCATGCACAAACCTGGGAGGGATGCAGTATATACAGATATACTCAATGTATATTGTATATATATACATATATGGGAAATGTATGGGTGCACAAACCTTGGGGTTAAATCGATGGAGAAATGGGGTAATCGGAAAAAGATTGGGAACAAAGTGGAACATAAATATCCCGGCGGAATTTTTACCGTCCGCATAATTAGCACAAATTCATGGTTTCGCCATAGCGAAACGTCAATTTTGATGCAAAAAAAGGGGTCTCCGAACTTGAGGGTTTATCTTTTCCATCGACAAGCCTCTCAGCGTTTTTTTTCTTCAAGAGGCCCGAAGTCGAATCAAGACAGTTGCTTGATGTACGCCGTATGTGTGGAAGTTGCAGAAGAACAAGCAGTGGCGTAGCATCACGTCTGTTTGGAAGTTGCAGAAGAACAAGCAGTGGCGTAGCATCACGTCTGTGTGGAAGTTGCAGAAGAACGGGCAGAGGCGTAGCATCACGTACTTGTGGAAGTGCAAATGAACGTTAACATCCCACCCCACCCCACCCCACCCCATCAAAATCTATGCGTTTTGCTGGACGGTAAAAATTCCGTCAGCATAAATATGAGGGACAAATATATGGGTACATGTAATTCTATGGGAAATATATGCACAAATATATGGGAAATATATGGGGAACATGCGTGAAAGATATGCACAAATTTAATGGGAAATCTATGGGAAACAAATGGGAATAACATATGTGAAAAAAAGAGAAAAACTATCGGATATATATGTGAAATGTATGTGAACACAGAAGATGAAACATATTTGTGAAATATGTGCACAGACCTCGGCTGGAGAAAATACGCTGACATATTTTGACATATCTGCAGAATATAAAAACCTGGCTGGAAAAGGATGATCAAATGAAATATGGTGTTAAAATGTGAAATATATGTATCTGTATATAAGATGCATATACGGTGCAAATGATATCAGTATATATAATACTTGTCAACCAGCGATTCGCGATTGCGAAGTGGGGGACCACCCCCAACATAGCAGCCACGTGCCCAGCAACGATCGAGGCTGTGAATCCAGTAGTAGGACTTGTAGAAATCATCCATTGATCGGATGAAGTCCGACTTAGGAGGATGGCAGTTTGCACAGTTCTAACATGCCCAGAATCTGGATTTTTCTGTATGAAGAAAGTTGGAAAGCTGGAAATTAAATGGGTTTACACATCATCGAAGGATCATCTTGGAACTTGTGTATCTTTGTGTCTCTTTCGGGGCTAACTATATACACATTATATACATATTTGATTATGTTTGTATATGTAAGCGCGCTTCTTATATAGCAAGCCCCAAACCGAGGATTAGCTTGTCACCTCACTGGATCGGCATGTTGTCAACTTGTGCTATGCATCACACATGTATGTATGATCTGGATCATAATATATCTAGATAGATAGATAGATAGATAGATAGATTGATTGATACAAAACTAGATAAAAAGATGGATGGATGGATGGATGGATGGATGGATGGATGGATGGATGGATGGAAAAATAGACAAATAGATATCTTACATTACATAATACACATATTATATATATATTACATATAATTAGTCCAATACATATATATATATATAATATACATTACATAGTTTACATACTTATCATCTATATATATACATACATATACATATGAAAGGGATGTCAAGGGTAGCTCAGTATGCATGATACACATGACCAAACAACTGGAAGTGTGCCAGCCACCCAAATGAATGGACAGCGAACAGAGCATTCCTTCATCAATTCAATACATTTACATATATATATATGTATATATATATATGTAAAACATTGCCGGAGACATGGAACATGTTTAAACCAACTAACCGTTAAGTAATGAGTTGTGATGTGTTTTTAGCTATGGGAATAGCCTCCATTCATGGATGACCGACTCTCCTCCCATCATCCCAATCGTCATCCGATGACCACTATCCATGGCCATAGCTGAGACATCCTGGATTGCCCAAACACAATCATTAAATATAGGTAAATCATAATATGTCACTAACCTGAAATAAGGTTATTTTGGGATATTTGTCCTTATTAACCATGATTTACCCAGATTAAATGTGATTGGATGTCTCGACTAAACTTGACTAAAATAAAAAAAACCGCACGAAAAGGGCAGATGTTTCACCTGCGCAACTTCAGCCATAGACTTTCATGGATCCCAAAGACAATCAGAAAGACAACAAAAAGATACAAAGTGGCCCGGCTTCACCCCAATTCCAAAGTTTCCAAAGATTACCCTCTGGTGAACTAACATAGCAATGGAAAGATCCACCATTTTTAATGGGAAAATCCACTATAAATCACCATTTTCAATAGCTTTTTGTATGTTCACCAGAGGGTAAATTCGTCAGCGAACATGTCAATTTCAGATCATCCCAGGATATCCCAGGATGGTCCACCTGGAGACCAGTGGATCCTGCGAGGCACCACAAAGTATTTCTCCCGTCGGAAGGCGCGGATGGTGTCACGAGCAATCAGGAAACTGGACACTTGGGACATCACCTGGGAGCTCTCAGCGCTGTCAGATCTGATTTCCACGCAAATCTTGGCAGAGAAGTTCTAAAAATCCAGTGATTTTTCCCCATGTCTGTGGCCATTTGGGTGGGTACCCTCCGGTAATGAAACGGGGCTAGCTGGACAAAATCCATGAACATCCCTTAAGAATGGATGGAATGAACTGGTTAAGGAGGCCCACCAGAGATGATGTAATCGGCTCGCTGAATGCCGTTGGATTCGATAAATAAAACAGCATCATTACATCTGTATATGCAGTCGTATACATACATTAACTGCTGTAATATACAATATGTATCTATAATATATGATTGTGTATGTGTCACTATTTAACTATGTTGATGTTGTCTTAGTATTTACACTTGCAAGAACACAACGTTGAGAACAACCTATTATCAATTCGATACACCCATCATGGTGGTTGCATAGTGTCGTACTTAGGCATAGTTTGTTATGAAATGCTGACAGAAACTGACGATGCCCCATAGCTGCGACAGCCGGGACACTGGGCTGGTAGCCATCAACATGAGCCTCTGCAAATTCAATGCCACCTTGATGAGAGAAAGAACTTGAACAATGGATGGTATACTGTCATTTGTGATATAGCAAAGAACAATGGGAGACATTGCCGTATCCAGCAGCTATAAAAACCCCATGTTTCACTGAGCACAAAATCGGCCTATCAACCACCTAAAGTAAAAACGAACCCGTATTTCCATTCATCTGAGTTCAGAAAAGTTGTGCTGCAAAGTTGCGCTGCTCTTGAGCGATCATGCAAAACTCTGCCTAGTTTTGAACCACGACGACTGATGCCCCCTACTCAGCCTTACTATGTCCTTAAGGATCATATTGGTATGGGTCAACGCTGCTCCGGTCACCACCAAAATAGCTGGCAAATGGAGTTGGATCCCAAAAACTATGAAAACAAAAGAGGTTTTGATGAAAAACACATGTATGGATGATCATCCAAGGCATGGATCAAACACTGACCCAATTCTTGTTGTATCTGACCATGGTTCTCTATATTTCCTGAATAGACATGACTTTTTTGCTGGGGATTAAGAACTGTATCATCTATACAATCTCTCTCTCTCACTCAATATATATATATACACATACACTGTATATAGTATATAAGTATATAAGTATGTATATATGTATATAATACGTATGCATATATATATATAGTATGTGTATATATATACATATATATATATAGTATGTATATATATATACACGTATACATATATATATATATGTATATGTATAAGTATATGTATGTATGTATGTATGTATGTATCTATGTATGTATGTATGTATGTATATATAAATGTATATATACATATGTATATACATACTTGTACGACTGTATACAATGCCACCAATCTTAACCACAACCAAAGGGTGATGTCTCCCAACCCCAAAAAGTGGTCATATGTCCCCTGTCCCATTGCGGACCGGCCGCAGCATTGTAGCGGCTTTGCAATTTGAAGAGAGGGAATGCAACCAGCAGCAGCAACAGCAGCACAGGCCATGCTAACCTCGCGTGGTTTTAATGGGAACATCATCGAACTAAATGGTGATTTTCCAGCTTGCCATGTTTGATTGCTAGAGTGCAATGTGGAAAAAACATGGACAAAAAAGAACAATAAACCATCATCCCAAATGGTATCCCAAAAAGTACCAATTTTGGATGGTTTCTTGTTAGGTTTAGATGGTTTACTCCATTATCTCAGTTCGAAAAAAAGAAACACCATTCCTAAGCATCATCTTATGGGGCCAAAAACTCATTCATCCACCATTAGGTGCCACAAATCAAAAAATACAAAGATGATTATCTAGATGATTATAGATTATAGATCATAGATGATTATAGATGATTCACAACAAAAAATACCTTAACAAAGTCCATGTAACACGCTGGCCCCGAAGGTCCCCAGCGCAACGATCGTGAAATGCTGCATGGTGAACTCGTAGATCCGAGGCATTTGAAGGTCCACCAACGCAATGTCTTGCGAAAAACGGTTCAAGACTCGACCCAGCGGAGTGGTGTCCTGAGAGCAAGGGAAGCTGGCTGGAATTGGATGAAACATCTTCCCGTCTTAAAATGAGGGACATTTGACATGTCCATAATCATCTCAAGGATGATTATATATACGGTAATTAACTACATCTAAATATTTCGGATTTTTTAATATACGAACTTGTATTTCAGACTACCTCCGGGAAGGTTTTCCTTGGCCCAATCCAATTTATTTAAACATACATTTAAATATACGGATGGGATTGGTGTTTCATACTGCCTTGTGATCTGGCCCGCCCTCCATATATTAAAATGGAGTTACCCTGTAAATATATATATATATATATGTATACATGCATATTCTGCGCATTATATATGACATTATATATACGATATACTACATGTGCTAAACCCAAAATTATAGCACAGGGGTGTCTGAAATGGTGCCACCATCCAAGCAGTTAATGAACATTAATTATTACAAACCACTGGATGTTTGGGCAAGCTATTTTCAGACACATTTCTATAATGGGAACGTACAACAACTATGTTTTCCAAAGTTTACCACATCCTCCAGATAGGCAACACTTGGAAAACACAATTGTGGTCATCACTGCGTTTGCCACATGATGATGGATGAATGCTCCACTGAAAATAAAGGACCAAGGCACACCACGCCTTGAAAACAGGCCCCCAGTCGTTGCTAAGTTGGTGCAAATGCTTGGTTAAGTAGGGTTTATCCCATAATTATAACTATAGTTGTAGATGGGATTGTGAATCAACCTTTAACTGGGGGGGGCACATTGTATGCATGCAGTGTTTTGTTAATTCATTTCCCGTCAGAGGAGCCGGTCTTGGCTCCCATAAAGGCGTACCAAGAGGCACGCACATGGTGAAATGGTGTTCTTTAGAGCAATCTGTCCATTTTGGGGGATGATTTTGTGCCATGCCTGTCAAAAGCTCAAAATTTGCGTCTCAACTGGGGAACCATCTAATTTTGGCATCAAGAATTTGAGCCATTCCGTGTAGTATAATTCAAAAAATCGAAGCCTTTTAGCGTGAGAATCGTTAAAGATCTGTCAACCATTCCTACAACAAGCCCCTCTGTGATTGCCTTTTTTTGGCTGCCCCGGGTCTCCATGTGCACCCAGCACGACGCACAAAAAATGTGCCACCACGCGTCATACCAAGCCATAGACTGTCGCAACACTGATGCCAGCATTTGCCTGGTTCCCAGCTCCTAGTGGTTATGTATAAATCACCATTGGAAGTTCAACACAATTGAGCAATCCCACAAAACTTTGGAACCAAATTTGGTGGTTATCCCCAACAAAATCACACAAGACCAACAAAATCTAAGGGAATGGCTGGGGAACCGCCATGCTGCTTATGCAATTTTCTTGATAGCTCCGTGAAGTACAAAGCAGCCAAGACAACCCGCAAGCCGCAGCATGCGGCAAAGACCAGTGCAGTGACCTCAGCTGAGCCAAGGATTGACGTCGGAGATCCTTGTTTTATGTATACGTTTATTCTGGGTAAATTATAATATTTCACTAAGCCCATTATAATTATAGTATTTCACTAATGGGCTTATGAATTATGGTTAGTATGTCACTATTCTGAACTTGCGCTCATTTGGGGATGATTCCCCAAATCCTAACCATGATATTTGACGTAGGGGCACAGCGAGGTCACTAGAATTTGCCCAGGTCAAGTGCTGGGTCAGAAGATCCAATCACCGCTATCTGGTGGAAATATGTTACAGAACCCACAAAAAACACATCCAGAAGTAAAAACCTACTAGAACGGTGGTGAATTACATTGTCATACATTGTCTATATTTTTTGCGCTTGCAATATTGCGGAGATTTCCCCATGTAAACTCAATAATGCCGAGGGACTCCCCATCAACAATACCTTATGTTTCCCACTTGTCTTATGGAATCTAAAGTCAAATACGACCCGATCCCAAAAGCAAATCTCAGCATCTCGATTTTCTTCAATCTAGGTTTATCGAAAACCATCGAAAACTCTATATGGGAGTTTCCGTAAATGGGTGTATCCAAAAATGGATGGTTTATAGTCTATAGTGGAAAAACCTATTAAAATGGATGATTTTGGGTTACCCCTATTTCAGAAAACCATCATATATTGTCAAATACTGGTAGCCAAGTCCCTGCATCTGTTTACATTCACACCCCACCTGCTGCGGCAAGGCACACCATAGTAGACCATCTGGTCGGAGTCTTGTTCGGAGGTCCACTGAGCCAGAAGGATGTTTGACAGGTACCTGGTGCCAACGTTTAGGGGTTAAGGTTCCGCGCTTGAAACGCGCTCAGGTCTGCACAGGGAACTAAAACTTCAGGCACTGATCATTTGTGCTTAATGTACCATTTTTTTGGCAACCAGACTGTAGACTGCTCCATTGCGCCATAGCTGGCTACCCCCCAAAATCCTCCATTTCACAAAACTCGTCCATTTCCCTTGGAATCTACCCCCCAAATCCTTGAAATCAGCCACTCCCATTCACCATTTCCATGGAAATTGACGGTTGATCATCGTATTCCCATATTTTCATATGTATATATATATATACATATTTTCCTTATCAGAACAAACCATATATTGGAGTATCCCCCATATCACCCCATCCCACACGCAGCTACATTGCCATTACAATCATGTTGTTGCTTATGTATCCCATTTCCCACTAGATCCTATTATATCCCACTATATCCCATCATATCCCTTTATATCCCATTATATCCCTATTGCAGTAACTTGTCAGACACTGATGATTATATGTCTCATCTGATCTATATCCCGATTACATCCCCACTCTTTTCCCAGTATATTCCATGTTTTGTTGACATGTTGTTATCCCACTGTACAGCAGTATATCATGGCATTTCCCATTAAGTTTCCATTATATCATCCCATCTCCCATTATATTTCCATTGTTTCCCGTCTATATATATATATATATTCCGATTGTCCTCCCAATTAATATATCCATTGTTAACCATGCCATTTCCGTATTCCTATGATATTCCCATGATATCCCGATGATATTTTTATATAAAATATCTGTATTTATCTATATTATCATTACGTCAGTGATGTATCCGCCAGTGATATCGCCTAGCGACATCGCCACGGGCGTCAACAGGCATAGCCCCAGCAGCGCCACGCCCAAGGCCTTCCCAGCAGCGCCGCCGCCAGCGGAGACGCTGAGCCACGCGGAGAGCGTCAAACGGCCCTGTGCCACGGCCTCTGTGGTCATTCCTGGCCCGACGCGAGAAAACATAGAAAATTTAAGGGTGATTTCATGCTCTCAAGGCAAATGGGATTTACCTCAACCATATTACGGATATCTTCCGAGGAATCCAAACATATATTGGCAACTCTTTATGGGAAAGATTGAAGCATAATGGAACTAATAAATGATGGTAATTCAGCGATATATGGCCATGTTCAAAGGGAATGATGATCAACCAAATTTAATTGGGAAAATTATGACATAAGCGTGGGATACATGTCAAAGAGAGTATGATGCTGATATGCCGAGGATACAATGGAATCTAACCAAGTATGAATGAGGATGTTACCTGCATTAAAATCTTGGGGTTGAAAGGACAAAGATTGCAAAACAATTTTTCCAGGCATCTCCCAATCAATCAAGTTCTTGTAGAGTTGAGCAACATGTAGCAGCCCGGAAGCATAATCCCGTCCCCCTATTACTAAACCGAACCGCCCCCAAAATAATAAAAAATACTAGGGCCGTCGACCAATTTGACTTTAATTTGGCTGCACTGGCTGCACTGCGTCGGCTTGAGCTGTTGCCATGGCTGTGTCTCTGGCTGCTGCCTGTTTTCTGTACTGGGCGGACTGGCTGGCTGCCTACCTGCTTGCTTGATCCAACAAGCAAAAGCAGCTTCCTGTCTGTGGGCCTGACCCGCTGATGCTGGATACTGATTCTGACTATCTGCCTCATGAAACCCCTACTGTCAACACATAATTACTACATATATAATTACGTATAATTACATGAATATATATATATATATATATATGTATATCGTTATATAATTAGTTAATTGCATGACTTCGACTTTGGTTCCCTAAAAATAAATAACCCCTAATAATAAAAACTACCTGAGGTGTTTATTATTTTGGGGGGTAGTATTAGGGGGGAAGGGATTACACAAGAGTTGCCAACCTCATGATTATCTAGATCTGGCAAGTTATCCATGTTTGGAAGGCCCCGATCCTCATACAAAAATATGGTGACTGGTCCGCCAGGATTTGATACCTATAACGTCTACTTCACCATCCAGCACCGGTGGTTTGCACTCCATGCTTGTTGGCAAAACTAATCTCATTGGCACTACTATACCATGGCACATCAATCATGCAATGCGCTCGAATATCCCACTGTTACTTTCCAAGTTTTTTATGGTTAAATCCAATTTGTCCATGGTTAAATCACCACGTTTGCAATGAACAATCGCACCACGTTTGCAATGAACAATCGCTATTGTTGACTGGTTGAATCCAATTTTTCATGGCAAACACGAAACATTTGTTTCACACTTAATTCACCATGTCTGATTGGTTATATATATACATTTGCCTGTATATATATATATATATTTGTACAATATATATATATATACAATATATATATATACAATATATATATAAATATACAGTATATTATATATATAACTACCATGCTAGCAGGCTATGCTAGTTTATGGTAGTCAAACCTCAAGTGCTCCTTTGATTTTCAAGTTGTCAAAGCTGAATCTCGTTGTTGTTTAGTTGGGTTAACCCCCCAGGTCTATTCTAGTTTATTGTTCATGAAACCCTCAATTGAATGGTAGTTTGTAGATGTTTATAGGATGCTTATGGCTGTGAAACCATATGAGCAATACACCGTTTTCCCATCTCATCAACTCTAGTTGGTTGAAAGCGGTTTCCCTACTATGAGTTATCTATCATAATCCCCAATAAATATCAATAAATTAGCTAGTAAAACTTCCTTTACCAACCAACCAAGAAGGGTATCGCTTTCATGGCTCAGGTGAACTCTTTTACGCTATCCCATTATACAGCGTGGTTCATATTCCTATACTCATCCGTTACAACAATCCCCATTCAATTAGCTAGTACAACCATGTACAACCCCCCTATATACCAACCCATCAACAGATGCGATTTTTGCATGGTGGAACCGTGTTAGAGATCCCTCATCAACATCCAAGGCTCCAGACTTCAGCCGCTGCTGGTTTCTCGCCTTCCCCAGCGTCGCTTCGCTCATCCCCCGCGCCAGGCGTGGCGCGATGCTGGCGGGGCTGGCGTCCTCGGGCACTTGGGACGTCATGCCACAGGTCGCCAGGATATCTTTGACCTCAGCTGGTGGGATTTTTTTTGGAAAATTCAAGGTTGAAGCATGTGAAAAAGATTGAAAAAGCCCTATAGTTTTGGATGTTTTACCTTGGAAACTTGGCTATTTCATGTTATTTCAGTGATTTTGCCTTGGAAAAGAGGGATTTTGCTCAAACAAGAACATCTTCCGTGAAGAAACTCTGGGAGGTTGGCAGCAAACATGTTGTACACTCCTAAGAAAGAGCCGTTTTATTCACCAGAATGAGACATGTCGGATAGTTTGCTATGATATATATATATATACATAGTCATCCTGGAGTAGATAGAATATGGAATTTTCGAACAACCCTCACTAAAACGAAATATGTTTGAAAATTCCACATTCTATCTACTTGAGGATGATTATATATATATAAAAATATCATGGTGCAAACTCAGATGAAACCTCAACCGAATCAACAAATAGTGGAAATATGGAATATGATGTTGCAACAGTTTCAAAGTATACCTGCTGTGTGGGGTACTCCAACTGCCAGGGCCGTGGGCTACGATCCAGCTGGGTGCCGAAAAGTTGGAGACCTGGAAAGGGAAAGCCTCATGAAACTAACATCCTGGATGTACTTTTTTGGGCATCTTTTGGGATCGATATATATATATATATGTACATTATATGTATATATATACACATTATATGTATATGTATATATATATATTATAATGATTTGACATCACAAACACTCCATGGCTTGCATCGGCATCTCACCAACAAGAAAATCTGGCCAAGAAACTTCCTCAAAGGTTCCCCTGTGAGCCACCTTTCCTTGCTCCATGATGATGATCTCATCCGCAGCAGCACAAAACTGAAGCTGATTGGTGGTCATCAACACCGCCTTGCCACTGCTTCGCAGTGCCATGATGCAATTCTGAAAAACCTCGGCCCCCACATGGGCATCCATAGCGGACAAGGGATCATCCATCACAACCACGTCCTGAGCCGCGGTGGCTTTGCGGTGTGAACTCCAAGTTGCATGGATTGCTCACCGGACAGGTTACTTTGTTTTGGAATGTGGAAAACAAGATGGTACAAGGTGTTGCAACGAACATTTCCAGAACCACCCCGCTGCAAAACAGAAGATGCGACGGACCCTGACTCGTGCGAAACTAATTTCAGAATTCGAGTAATTACGCACATCCACCATCAAGTCATGTCAGTATACCGGTGTGTCCAAAAAAAAGGCCATAACATACATATCTCGTATTTGTATATATATACGTATATATATTACACAGGCACTGGTTTTCTCCCATTTCGAAATAGATCGTCACTTGGTGGACCAAGGACCAGTCGGACGCCACCAGGCATTCGCAGCGGTCCGAGAAGCTGGGTTCGCATAAAATGCTCTGGCCATGGCAATGCGGGCTCTCTGCCCGCCACTGATGGTGATTCCTTTCTCACCTGAGTGCTGGTCCAAGGGCACTCCTGGTATCACCAAAGAGTTCTTCAAATGTCATTAGAAGGAAACGAAGTTAGGAGGAAACGAACTGAGTCACTGCTTGTACTCCACGTGGGGACATGTATAGTACATTATAGTATATATATATATATATCATGTCTTGCGATATGCAATCGAAATGTAAAAAACATGTTTTTCACAAAGTTGGCTACTCGATTAAGCAATTCCGATGCTCGCTGCTTGTTTACCACATTGTCATGATATTGTTCTACATAGCTACATTCCCAACTTTGTATGTAAATTCAAGTTGGTAGTGTCCCCTGGTTCAGAGCGACAAAACAATGACCCAGCGAAAGAGACATCCTTCCATTAAGAAGCTCCCTCAAGTTATATAATGATCTAGCACATATAGGTAGTCCGGTAGTATTTTGACTAACTTCTATAACCTATTCCACAACAAATCCACCTATCAAACGGTTTTGATCATGTTCCAGCCCTAAATATGTCGTAGTAAATACGTTAGGACACTAGGTTTTATCTTGGCACACTCAAGAATTCACATGAAAACCGACAAGTTCATGGGAATTTCATTTTCCAACCCTGGTGTTATGTATATTTTGGCTTACAGTAGCTCGTCATTGGTGGTTGCAACATGTTGGGTTTGCCGGGGGGGTTTGCCGTGAGTCGGAATGAGTTTGCAAGAAGGGTAACATATGTTAAGATCATGTATGTCCAGTAGGAGGAAATTTCATGGTATTTTCAGTGTTTTTCATTGGTTTCACATTAGCATTTGCAAGATGTTTGCATGATAAAGGATGATTGTTTGAACCAGGTTCATGTTTTGCGAACAAGATTTTTCTCGGGATCCCGCGGAAAAAATAGCAGGATTTTTGAACTTGCGATTTGTTGGAAAGAGAAATAAAGTTGTGTGTTTTATTGGAACAGCATAATTAGATTTCCTTCGGAGCCATGTTGAGTTTCGATGAATTGTTCGAATGTTTGGTGCTATTGTTCGATGAATTGTTTGAACCTTATTACTCCCCCCCATGTTTTTGTTTCGGCCTAAAATCTACAGAGGTACATGCATGAGTATTGAGCACATTTATATGCGCCCTTCAAGGCTCAAGAGGTATATAGAGTAACCCTGTGGACAAGCACTGAGCGGCAACAGGCTGAGAGTAAAATAGTGCGGTCATTGGGGAAGACGCCTTAGCTGATCTTGAAGTAAACGCTAGGGCCCCTCTTCACCCCACCCCCCCACACCCCACGGACAGCTATTCCAATGTTGGATAATGAGTTCTATGGAACGCAAGCTGCCTGGATGTTATTACTCCCCCCCAAAAACCAAAACCCCCCCACCCCCCCACCCCCACCCAAGGGTCACGAGCTCAGAAACCTTGTTTGCTTCGGCAAACCCCTACGGTTGACCCAACATGTTGTCTCCCCTATTTATGTTGGTGGATAACGAGATGGTACTGGTATAGGGATACAGATTCCATCAGATTCCCATATTTTATCAAGTGACCAGGCTTTTATCAACACATACCCTCTGATAATCAAGCGCGGCAATGGAACATCTTCCATTTGTAGATGATGTTCCCAGCTAGAAAACGTCATTCCGATATATTTCGTTCGGGGATTTCCGTTTGGATTTCCCAGCTTGCCATATTTTGATTACTGGAGGCTATTTAGAGGTTTCCTGAAATATGGGTACCCCAAACCATTTGTTGTGCCTTTGTTTATCACCAATTCTGGATGATTTTAGGGTACCCCAAAATCAAGGAAACCTCCATTTGATGAACACACTGCCATCACCCCAGGCACCGATTTCCGTGGCATCTCCATCCACGAGTTGCTCCATATCTTGTTCCAAACAGCACGCTGTCAGCGCTGCGGCATACAAAGAAGGCTCCCAGTCAGCACCGAAGAGAATGTTGTCACAGACCTATGGCTGGAAAATCCCAAGAAAAACGAATTTGAATGGGAAAATCATCTAAAGATGGGGAAGTTTTCCATTGCCATGTTTTAGTACCAGGAAATGATAGGGACAAAATAAATAGGAATAAATATGGAAAATAATAGGGCAATAAACAGGGAAATAATAGGGAAACCATATTATGGGAATAAATAGGGGAATAATGGAGGAATGGATAGGGAAATAAATAGGGAAATCAATAGGGAAATAAATAGGGAAATAAATAAGGAATAAATAGGGAAATAAATAGGGAAATAGATAAGGAATAAATAGGGAAATAAATAGGGAAATATTTTTTTTTAAAAGGAAATAATAGGGAAATTCATGGGGAAATAAATAGGGAAACAAATACGGAAATAAATAGGGAAATAAATAGGGAAACAAATGAGAAATAGATAGGGAAATAAATAAGGAAATAAATAGGGAAATAAATAGGGAAATAAATAAGGAAATAAATAGGGAAATAAATAGGGAAATAAATAGGGAAATCAATAGGGAAATAAATAAGGACATAAATAGGGAAATAAATAGGGAAATAAATAGGGAAATAAATAGGGAAATAAATAAGGAATAAATAGGGAAATAAATAGGGAAATGGATAAGGAATAAATAGGGAAATAAATAGGGAAATAAATAAGGAATAAATAGGGAAATAAATAGGGAAATGGATAAGGAATAAATAGGGAAATAAATAGGGAAATAGATAGGGAAATAAATAGGCAAATAGATAGGGAAATAAATAGGGAAATAAATGGGGAAATAAATGAGAAATAGATAGGGAAAGAAACAGGGAAATAAATAGGGAAATAGATAGGGAAATGAATAGGGAAATGGAAGTTTAATTATAGAAATATGACCCCTTTATATTGGAAGTTTTGATGGTGATTGATGGTGACCTTCACAAATACTGGAGTATAGCACCAGCAATTTTATTGGGAACAGCTACACCTGGCGAAAACCAAAAATATGATGGGTATGTCCAAAACTGTGATACCCCACATGTGTCCACTATGTGTCCAAATATTGGATAATATGCAAGAGAGGTAATGAACGATAATGGGAATTTTAAATGAGTGAATAATGGAATATAGCCAACTTGATTTGATTTGGGTTCTATTTTTGTTGGTGGTTTATATATATATATTATAAACAAAAAAGAAGGGATTATCAACCACATGGTTTTGTCTGAACATAGGCAACCCCTAAATTCACGGATTAATCATCATGTTCATTCATGTTCCCTATGAAATGGCTATTTGGAAGGTATGCCCCATTTTCAGACACATCCAAATAATTAGACAAACATGATCAAACATGGGAATTCTTGACTTTCAAAACCAAGTAGAATGTGATTGGATACAGGTTTGTACCGAACTGGGGTGTGATCCTGCTGCGATTTTCAGGCGTGTTCATGCAGAACATGATGACACATTTTTTTTTGGGAATTCACTAGAGTTTGGGGTATACAAGTTTCGGACAGTGTTGGCTCAATCATTCATATCATCCCAACGCATGGTACACATGCGCCTATAGCATTAAAACAAGAATCCACATGTAGGCAAATGTACGATACAAGGCTAGTATGGTTTACTTCGGCAAACCCAATGGTGTAACCAATACAGAGTACATGTTTGGAAATAACTATAATATACGGGAGATGAACATGCTCAAATACTTTGAGGATAGCCCATTCAGTCATCAGCGACCCCTGCCAACAACAAAAAACAAGCGGGCTCTGCATTCGTGCTGGTACTATCCCCATTTTGATGTGGGTTACAGTATCAATTCCCATGGTTTATTGGCCAAATCAAATTCCCCAAGTAAGGGACCCCTATACATGAACAAATCCAGTACTGATAAGCAAGGGTCTCTCTCTCAGTTTCGGGTTGCAACTTCTCTAGCGAGTTTCTGATTGCTTTTAGACCTCACCATCCAGCCCCGTTTAAATTGATCAGATAGACGAAATCTCCATTCTACTGCGTTGACCTATATGGTTGGATTCATCCCATTCCACTCCTAGTGGACATTCCTAGCTATAAGTTGGTTTATCAAGCCCATTAAGCATAGATTTAGTCTACCAAAACATCCAGAAACCATAGTTAACCGTTGGTTAACCTAGGACCTAGCTATAAACCAACTTAGCTATCATTTGGGGGGCCCTACCTTGCACCAACCATCAAGAAACCGAGGCGTTCAAGACTTGTGGATTCTGCGGCACATAGGCAGGTTGTCCTGCAACCAGCATGTAGGTATGGTTCAATTTATATATGCTTTACCCTTGACATGAAACATAGCTACAAGATGCTACAAGTAGCTGGGAAATGCCTTCTAAGTCAAGCTTTTAATGGAAACACATGGAAACAACATCTATACATGGTAGATGTTCCATATCTATATGATTCTATATGTTTGTTTACTGGCAGGTATCCAAAAATTGGGATGGTTTGATAATATTATGAGTTAAACAAGAACAGCATCTGTTGTCTTTGGTGACCTGAAATTCCGACCCATCATCATCATCGACAAGGAATGTCTCAAGCGTTTGTCTCACGCTGGAAGCATCAACAGTGGCAATGGTCACCTTGAAAGTGGACAAACTCCCTTTGCTTTTGAAACTCACCAAACATTCACCAAACTTCGCCGAAATTCCACCACCTCCTCTTCTCCCTTATCTCCACTCCAATTCTCAATGGAATTTCAATCCCTCCACGGCCTCCACGGCTTTTTCGTACAGTTCATTTCCAGCCAACCCCCACTATAACTCCCCATCCCCTCAAAATCCCAACCGACCTCTCCCAAGACCGGCCTCGCAAGCTGGAGTTGCCACATGTTCGCTGGGCAAATCCGAAGACCCCCGAGAGCAGCGTGGATTTCCCGGACGCCACCGGTCCAACGACCAGCACCAGGCGCCCAGGTGTCACTGAGACGGCCATGTTCGACAACACAACAGAGTCGGTCCAGGAAAAGCTGGCGTTGGCCATGGAAATCCTGGGACCGAAGGACTTAAGGACAGGCCATGAAGGTCGATCAAGAACGATCAACAACGATATCCGATAAACATCAAGGATTAATACCCATAGGATCCATGGTGCTGCTATATATGGTAACATTTACCATCAATATACCCCCAATGTTAGTATATATACCATACATGGATCCTATGGGATATAAAGTTGGTTAAATTGCCTCATTATTTGGTTTCTATTGGATTTAACCAATATGACCTACTTTTTGAAACATATCCCCCTTTTAATTGGGACTTACTTGGACCCCACACCCCGAAACAACCCCTCGCTTGTCGCCGGGCGAAGCTTCCCCGGCACTCCGTCAGTGGCATCGGCTGTGATGTCCGCGACGTCCTTGCGCAGTAGCAAGCGCTCCACGCGACTGAGGCAGGCACTCATGATCTGCAACTGCATCTTGCCTTCGGCATTCCACGGGTTAAGAATGGATTAACAATTGGTTAATAATTGGTAAGCAAATGGTGAATATTGTGTTAACAATGGTTAAAAATTAATGGATTTATCAAGGAGTTAATGGGTGAATAATCGGGAATTAATGCCCCTCTTGAGCCAGTGACCCGCTAATGCTAATAGATAAGATTTGCGCTTCTAGAGGCACTTGTTGGTTCGGAATAAGTCCTTAGTATGCCCTATGCTTGGGTTTATCGTCTTTGGGTGGTTGAATCATCATAATGGTTTTGGAACCGTTCCTGTTCTACCCAGATGTGTCCCAAGAATTCTCGACGAAATCCGCTAACAACTTCCAACCGTAACAAGGACATATAACTGATCTATAGAAACTGATCTATAAGCCACCACGATCCTACGGTAACACCTCCAAGCACCATCAAATATTTCAGTTTGCTTAAAAACTAACTTGCTTATATAATGTTATATATATATTAGTTGATGACCCGTTGGACTGGTTACATGTGTTCACCCATCCTCAAGAAGCAGTGAATCTAAGCCTATAGCTAGATTCCTGCTCTATCTAATGGTAGCATCTCCAATCCCCATATTGGCTTTATGGGCCGTGTATCCCGTTGAGCCTGAAGCTTTCAAACTCTGCGGAACATGATGTTTATCCATTGAAAGTTCAAGGGTATATTGAGTATATTGTCATATCTGGTCCTTCGGGAATTTGCCTAACTCTTTTGCGGAGGTTTTTACCTTATGCACTGGGACCGCTGGGAGATAGATCAAGTGCTTTCCGCGAACAACATACAGGAAATTCGAAAATTACTTTATTTTGCGTGATCCGCGCCAAGTGGCACTTTATCTTACATTTCTGTCTGACATTTTATCTGGCATTCTAATCTACCTCACGGATCTACATATTCTGGCATAGTGCTCGTGGGGTCCAGAGAGCCTGCGAGCTCGCGATAGTGTGAGGCTGGAAGAGGAGGAGAAAAGCAAGACATAAAATGGAGAGACCCTGATCTGGCAGGTGGGGAGTAAATGACATTTAACTATCCAAGAACAATTTCCAGATTGCTGCATCCTTTCTTACTTCCTACTTAAGTCAATCATCTTAGCCAAGCCACAGTTGGGTAACAAGGTGAAGCCCAGCGCTAGGTAATCCTCAGCGCCAATCAATGATGGGGATGACATGATCAACAAAATGGTGGTGTTACCCCTTAATCTGGGGTTTAACTATTGAAAAACGGGACTATAATGCACTTGCAGCTTTGATATAATGCAATGATGTGACAGTGTATATATATATGTATAATTATGTACTTGATTATAATTGTATGTGTATATATATATATATACTGTATATATATAGAAAAACATAATGTGTATATTATATGTACAGTATATATATATACACAGTTGTATTTAATCACCAAATATGATGATCAATGTGGGCTTCAGGAAGCTTCAAAAACTTGCGGGGTTTTGCCCTCAAACCAAGTCTGGGATAGCTCCATGCAAACTTACGTAGGATACAGAACTTCATGTGTTCAACCTGTTGGAACTTGTGAGCTACACATGGTGGAGTTTCCATTGGTAAACAATATCAACAATGTTTACAACAGAACTCGTATTCTAAACCAACTGAGTCGGCTTCGTTGGCCACAAACTCCTCATGGTGTTGGTTTGTTGATTAAGTCTAGTTAAATGCCTGATACACGGTGCTACCCATCTTATCCCCAAAAAAACTGAACTTCCAATGGTTTATGGCTACAATCTGTGCAGTTGGAATGAACATAGTGAGCAAACTTGAGAATCGAGTGGTACCTCATTCTAGATTACCATACCTTGGTGATCCTACCTATCTTTTAGTGAACTCACAAATCTGCAGATCTCGGCTTGAAACAAATGGCTCGGCTGGTCATGCTGGGAAATCCCGAGATCCCAAGTTGAGGGTGAGTACAGGCTGTTGCGCGAGTACAGGACTTCCAGGATCTTCCAGGACCCCAACAACATAACTACACAACAACTATAGCTAGCCCTACATTCACCCAAGTGTTTCATCAAACCTGCCACATGATGTCCAGTGCCAGGCATCAAAGTAGGCCACGGTCATGGCCACCACATCTGCTTCCAATGAATATCCCAAGGCCGCATATGTCAAGAGGGCCGTCGAGATTCCAACCACTGGCAATGCTGATACAGCCTGGGCGCCGATGCCAACTGAAGGGAAATGCAAAGATACCCTCCCGTAACGTGGCAGGGGACAATTCCCTATAACTGGAGGTTTCCATGAGAAAATCGACTATGAATAATGGATTTTCCATTGCCACGTTTGATTGTCGAGGTGCATTTTACTTTGTGAATTCGTGAAATCGCAATTCAAAGCATTTCAAGGCTGACAACAATGCTGACCCGTAGGCATTGTTCTATCTCTTATTTATATACTAATATATATATATATATATGTGTATATATATTCAGTATGTACACATGCCTATGACGTACTGAAAGTTGTTGACATGCTAAAAGCAGTCCTTTTGATGTCTCCCTTGCCGCTTTGTCTCACAATAGGATATCCTGCACATTCCATGCCTCATCAAACATGGCGATAAGTCCCTAATTTCTCATCGGTTCCTGTTCCTGATCAAGAAAAGAATACACATAGTTTTATTGATATATATTGATATTGATATTGATTGAATATATTGTTCTTTTCAATATCAATATCAATAAGTCAATCAGTATATATATATATACACGTGTATATATGTATACTGATTTTCCCATCAAAACGGCCAGTCAATGCCAGTCATAGATTTCCCATTGCCATGTTTGGTTACCAAAGGGTACAAGTACCATGGGTCCTGGCCGAAATACAATATATAATTCACTGACTTGAAAATAGCTGTTATCATACGGCCAACTGGGGATATTTCCCCTTACTGACCAACTGTCCAGTGACGTCACATTGAGGTCCTCAAATTTCATCCAGTAAATCTTCCATTAAATCCCATTATATCCCCAGTATATATACCACCATTTTTGGTGATTAACTCCCTTCATGCTTGGGACAAACCAAGCAATTGCAATGCCCAGTGGCACCCTGCTGCAATGCATAGGCCAAGTGTATCCAGCTCAGCACGCGGATCTCCTGGGAAATTGTGACCAAAATCAACCGATAGCGGAACCAGCACTGACCATCGTGGGCGAACCATGGGGCCAGTTGATGGCATAACCAACTCAATATAATACATACATTTTTTTTTGTTGTATATAGAGATACATGGTCTGAAAATATGTTCCTATATTTTCCTATAAAAGATGGGGATATATTATGGTATATTGCTGTCATTTCTGAAATTCTATACCCCCATCTATAGGAGAAACATGGTCAAACAAGCCATCAAATTGGGGGGTACCTGATTGTCCAACAAATCCAAATGCAGGGCTTTCAACAATATACAAGTTCTTTCACCAATGCTGAGATAAGAGATGCAAGAACCACGTGCACTATGGTGAATAGATGTGAACAGCATGAAGGTTTTACCTAGTACTTTGTTCAACCATCATTATCAACAACAAGCAACAACTGGCAGTGTGTCAAAACCTTGTAATGTTGGATGGACAATAGTAAAGCGCGTGCAATAGCTACAAATAATTTTCAGAATCTGATTTTTCAGCCCCTATTGATTTTAAATTAGGCCTTATTGATTTTAAATTACAGACATCAATCTTGGTCCAGAGCATCTGCAATAGTTGTGCTGCATTTGCAATAGCTACAAATAATTTTCAAAAAAAAACAAAATTATCAGATTTTCCAATACTAAATTGTAAAAGGGCTAATTGAGATTTAGTATGGATGCAGGAAAAAGCTCAGAACCAGTAATTAATGACCTGCCATGAGCAGATGCACTGCTTCTTTTAGACCCCAGACATGTCAGCATGGAATGTGTGTCAGAAAGGTGAAACAGAATGGTGCACCAGAGAGCTGCAAAGGTGAAACAGATTAATTAGTGCACCAGAGAGCTGCACCAGAGCGCTGGCACCAGAGAGCTGCACCAGAGGCCACCACCAGAAGGCTGCACCAGAAGGCTGCACCAGAATTCTCCTGAAAAAATGAAATGTCCTTAATGTATTTTTTCTGGCTCTAGCTGTATTTTTCCATAGAAAAATCATTAAAAAAACCATAGAGATCCCATAGAAATCTGATAGAAATCCCATAGACACCCCTTTGAAATCCCAGAGAAATTTTAAAGAACCACCATGGAAATCCCATAGAACTTACACAGGAATCCACTAGAAATCCCATAGAAATACCATAGAAATACCATGGAAATCTCACAGGAACCCAATAGAAATCCCATAGAAATATCATAGAACCACCATTGAACCCCCAAAGAAACTTCATGGATTCCATTAGAATTCCCAAAGAAATCCTTTAGAAATATCATAGAAATCTTGATTAAACCCCATAGTCATCTAATAGAAATATCATACCTTCTTCCTTAGTGTTTTTAATTGTGGTTGAATGGTTTTTTAATTGTGATTGCATGTTTTTTCAAAAGCAAAAACAAAGCAAACCTTTACCAAATCAAACACTTTACCTTGTTCAAAACAGCAGAATTCTCTTGAAAAAGCAAACAATTCCTTAATGTATTTTTTCTGGCTCTAGCTGTATTCACCCCGCTTCGCGTGGGGTGGCCGCCCACACCGCAGGTTTATTTCGGTCCGTGAGAGGGGCTAAGGGTGGTTTTCCCCCGTGGGGGCTCTTCAAGCTAAGAAATTTCAATAAGAAATCCTTCCAAAACATTGTTTTTGACAGTGTTTTTCCAATGTTTCCAGTCAAACAGACGGTAATTTACACGTTTTTTGCCATAAAGGCAGTAAATCCTTCCAAAACATTGCTTTTGACAGTGTTTTTTGTAATGTTTCCAGTCAAGCATACGGTAATTTACACGTTTTTTGCTATAACGTCAGTCCAAAACACTTGTTTTTGCAGTGTTTTCAATGCTCTGGCATCCAAAAACCCTGCAAAATCTTGCTATGTACAATGTTTTTTTCATTTTTGGCCGTTTTTCCATTGCCGGAAAGCTACCAAAATGACCCAAAATTCCATTTCAATACCCTCTTGCGCTCAGACACCCAAAAATCCTCGAAAAATGTCGAAAACACCACCGTATTCTGGTCTCGGTGCGAAACCGTTTTTTGCCCCCCCCCAGCTAAAGCTGATATAGCGACTGCTATATTAACAAATGTCATTGAGCATTTAGTGTTGCTGTTGCCCCCCAATAAGCACGCCTTCACCGCCAAAGCGGTGTGGGCGGATTTTTTTTTATAGAAAAATCAAAGAAAAACCATAGAGATCACATAGAAATCTGATAGAAATCCAATGGGAATCCCATAGACACCCTTTTGAAATCTCAGAGAAATTCTAAAGAACCACCATAGAACTTACACAGGAATCCACAAGAAATCCCATAGAAATACCATAGAAAGAAATACCATGGAAATCTCACAGGAACCCAATAGAAATCCCATAGAAATATCATAGAACCACCATTGAAATCCCAAAGAAACTTCATGGATTCCATTAGAATTCCCAAAGAAATCCTTTAGAAATATCATAGAAATCTTGATTAAACCCCATAGTAATCCCATAGAAATATCATACCTTCTTCCTTAGTGTTTTTAATTGTGGTTGAATGGTTTTTTAATTGTGATTGCATGTTTTTTCAAAAGCAAAAACAAAGCAAACCTTTACCAAATCAAACACTTTACCTTGTTCAAAAAAGCTGTTTTCTTTAGCAAAATCAATTTAAAAAAAAAACGAAAAACAGGTCCACAAAGGGTACCCCCTTGCAGGTCCTTGCATTTGCAATTAAAAATTGGAATTAGCACTTGCAATAAGAAACAACCTTCCTGGCTCTAGCAGGCTTTTTTTCTCCTTCTTCCTTAGTGTTTGTAATTGTGGTTGAATGGTTTTTAATTGTGATTGCATGTTTTTCAAAAGAAAACAAAGCAAACCTTTACCAAATCAAAAACTTTACCTTGTTCAAAAAAGATGTTTTCTTTATTAAAATGCTTTTAAAAAAATTACAAAAAACAGGTCCACAAAGGGTACCCCCTTGCAGGTCCTTGCGTTTGCAATTAAAAACTGGAATTAGCACTTGCAATAAGAAACAACCTTCCTGGCTCTAGCAGGCTTTTTTTTTCCCTTCTTCCTTACTATTTGTAATTGTGGTTGAATGGTTTTTAATTGTGATTGCATGTTTTTCAAAAGAAAAAACAAAGCAAACCTTTACCAAATAAAAAACTTTACCTTGTTCAAAAAAGCTGTTTTCTTTATCAAAATCAGTTTTAAAAAAAATGCAAAAAAAAACAGGTCCACAAAGGGTACCCCCTTGCAGGTCCCTGCATTTGCAATTAAAAACTGGAATTAGCACTTGCAATAAGAAACAACCTTCCTGGCTCTAGCAGGCTTTTTTTCTCCTTCTTCCTTAGTGTTTGTAATTGTGGCTGAATGGTTTTTAATTGTGATTGCATGTTTTTCAAAAGCAAAAACAAAGCAAACCTTTACCAAATCAAAAACTTTACCTTGTTCAAAAAAGCTGTTTTCTTTATTAAAATGCTTTTAAAAAATTGCAAAAAACAGGTCCACAAAGGGTACCCCCTTGCAGGTCCCTGCATTTGCAATTAAAAACTGGAATTAGCACTTGCAATAAGAAACAACCTTCCTGGCTCTAGCAGGCTTTTTTTCTCCTTCTTCCTTAGTGTTTTTAATTGTGGTTGAATGGCTTTTTAATTGTGATTGCATGTTTTTTCAAAAGCAAAAACAAAGCAAACCTTTACCAAATCAAACACTTTACCTTGTTCAAAAAAGCTGTTTTCTTTATCAAAATCAGTTTAAAAAAAAACAAAAAACAGGTCCACAAAGGGTACCCCCTTGCAGGTCCTTGCATTTGCAATTAAAAATTGGAATTAGCACTTGCAATAAGAAACAACCTTCCTGGCTCTAGCAGGCTTTTTTTCTCCTTCTTCCTTAGTGTTTGTAATTGTGGTTGAATGGTTTTTAATTGTGATTGCATGTTTTTCAAAAGAAAAAACAAAGCAAACCTTTACCAATCAAAAACTTTACCTTGTTCAAAAAAGCTGTTTTCTTTATTAAAATGCTTTTAAAAAATTGCAAAAAACAGGTCCACAAAGGGTACCCCCTTGCAGGTCCTTGCATTTGCAATTAAAAACTGGAATTAGCACTTGCAATAAGAAACAACCTTCCTGGCTCTAGCAGGCGTTTTTTCGCTTCTTCCTTACTGTTTGTAATTGTGGTTGAATGGTTTTTAATTGTGATTGCATGTTTTTCAAAAGAAAAAACAAAGCAAACCTTTAAAGCAAACAAATTTACCAAATAAAAAACTTTACCTTGTTCAAAAAAGCTGTTTTCTTTATTAAAATGCTTTTAAAAAATTACAAAAAACAGGTCCACAAAGGGTACCCCCTTGCAGGTCCTTGCATTTGCAATTAAAAACTGGAATTAGCACTTGCAATACGAAACAACCTTCCTGGCTCTAGCAGGCATTTTTTCCCTTCTTCCTTTGTGTTTTTAATTGTGGTTGAATGGTTTTAAATTGTGATTGCATGTTTTTCAAAAGCAAAAACAAAGCAAACCTCTACCAAATCAAAAACTTTACCTTGTTCAAAAAAGCTGTGTTCTTTATTAAAATCCTTTTAAAAAATTGCGAAAAAAAAAAAGGTCCACAAAGGGTACCCCCTTGCAGGTCCTTGCATTTGCAATTAAAAACTGGAATTAGCACTTGCAATAAGAAACAACCTTCCTGGCTCTAGCAGGCTTTTTTTCTCCTTCTTCCTTAGTGTTTGTAATTGTGGCTGAATGGTTTTTAATTGTGATTGCATGTTTTTCAAAAGCAAAAACAAAGCAAACCTTTACCAAATCAAACACTTTACCTTGTTCAAAAAAGCTGTTTTCTTTATCAAAATCAGTTTTAAAAAAAATCCAAAAAAAACAGGTCCACAAAGGGTACCCCCTTGCAGGCGCTTGCATTTGCAATTAAAAATTGGAATTAGCACTTGCAATAAGAAACAACCTTCCTGGCTCTAGCAGGTTTTTTTCCCTTCTTCCTTAGTGTTTGTAATTGTGGCTGAATGGTTTTTAATTGTGATTGCATGTTTTTTCAAAAGCAAAAGCAAAGCAAACCTTTACCAAATCAAAAACTTTACCTCTGCTGTGTCCTCTCAGGCTCTGTCCTCCCCCAGCCTCCCCTAGATTCTTCAGAAGATTTTGCACCAGAATCAGCTGCTACCAACTGCTGGCTACCAGAATGGCATACTTCAGCTTACCCCCCAGGGCTATCAGAATGAGGTACTTCAGCAACTTCATCAGAACCCATGGCAAAATGCCACAGGATGAAACAATTCAGATCTAACCATTGATTGCAAAATGCTGCAGAAAACCATAGACCATAGAATCCATTGATAGCAGAATCCAATGAGAAGAACTTCAAATTTAATCAACTGATCATTCAGAAACTTCAGAATCCAATGAGAGCCTTTTCAATTTGCAGCACCCTTTAAAAAAGATAAGGCACCATGAATCAGAAACCAATCAGAATCTCAATCCAGAACCTTTGAAACATGAACCAGCCAACATGAACCAGAAATCATGCAGAAACTATCAGAAGCTTTGTCACCAGACACTTCAAATATATTTCAAAAAACAGAAACTTCCAAGACATTTCAAAAAACAGAGCCATACTTCAGAAGATGCACCCACATGCATCAGATTTTTGCCACCAGAGCTGCTTGCCAGATAGTTGGTGACTGGCTTCCAGCATCCAGCATCGATCAGAGGCCATCAAGGCCAACAAAAGAGAAAATGACTTCTCAGCAGATTAAAACAAATTCATATCATATCCTATCATGTTCAGATAATAATTATCAGATTCAAATATTAACTATTCACTCACCAGAAGTCATGCAGAACCAGATCTACTCAGAAGCCATGCAGAAACTTGCCAGAGACTCCTCAATTGTTGTTCCAGAGTTCTCAGAGCAGAGTTGCAAAATTGCAAGGCCAGATCTCACAGAGGCCATGGATCACAGCCAGGTGCTGCAGCAGAATCGATCCTGCAATCAGCCAACATGAATCAGAAACCAATGAAAATCAAATGCAGGACCTTTCAAAAATTAATCAGCCAATATGAATCAGAAACCAATGGGAATCTATGCAGAACCTTTCAAACATGAATCACCCAACATGAATCAGAAACTATGCACAAACAATCAGAACCTTTCCCCCCAAACATGCAGACAACTAAAGAAAACCAAGGCTCCAGTACCAGACCAGCAGAGCAGCACCAGCAGATCACCAGATGCTCACATCATGGCCTCCCTCCTCCTCTTCATCACAGCCTTGGCTTCTGCACTCAGAGGAGGTGGCTTCAGAAACTCCAGAGGCCAAACCACCTGCAGGGAAGCAATGAAAAAAAAAGCACACAAAAAAAACAGAACATTGCAGCCAATGAATAGACCCAGGCCTGGGCAATCAGCTGATCAGAATCTTTGCCATTAGATTCAGCGAGCTCCAGAACATAGACAAATTGCTGCTGACACTCAGAGAAGCCTGGAATGAGGGCATTAGAGATTACAAAAACAAACCAAAACAAATGGCAAACAAAAAGAAAAGACTAGAAAAAAAAAACATGCAATCAGCTGATCAAGTCACAGCTTTTGACCCAGAGAGCCCAGAGTTCAAAGCCTTCAGGCAGAGTGCAATCAGCTGGAGACATAGTGATCTCAGAAGCGCAGAAGCAAGGAATCCTCAGAAGCATGAAGCTCCAAACCAGAACAGTAAACAGAATAAACAAATACATATATATATATGCTAAACATATTATATATAGCTATATATATATATTACATGCTAAATATATTAATTACTATAAATATACTAAATAATTGTGTATATATATATAACCACTATATATATATATATACTATATATATATACTATATATATACTATATACTAAATATAATGCTTAAAAGCCAGCCAAGAAACTCATTCCAGACCAGCACCAGATTTCTGCGCACAGCAGCCACATTCAGAGAACTCATGCCAGCATCGATGGACTGGTACAGCAGCTCACAGGCACAGGACAGCCAGGCCAGTAGGCAGATCCATTTCCAGAGGCAAGGAGGTCCACCACTGCCCAGATACTGCTCCATCCTAAGCAGGTTCAAGAATTAAAAAAACAGAACCAGCAAAGAAGGAAAAAAACAAAAGTAAACCACAAACACATACAAACATGGAAAAAAATCAAACAGAAAACAAGTAACTCCCAGCGCACTCTGCCTTTCAGAACAGCATATGTGCACTGGTCAGAGCTGTGCACATAGCCCCTGCCATCTTTGGCAGCCCTGTAGGCAGAGATTTCATGCTGCAGATTGTGCAGAGACCTGGTGGCCACCCTGTTCCTCTTGTCAGGATCATTCAGATGATCCAGAGGGCCAGGGCCAGCACCAGCACCAGTCTCAGCAGACATATCCATGGGCAGAGACATCGACATGATCAGAAGACCAGAAAGCGAGTGAGACAGAGACAAAGGAATGCCAGAGATCTAGGCCAGAATGCTGCAAATTCACAACAGAATCACATGAAGATGATCAGAAAAACTTGCAGAAAAACCATCTAGATTCCAATGAGGCACTTGCAGAAGACCATGCAGAATCCAATGGACAGCTTCAGAAAAATCAGCAGAATCCAGTGAACATCATCAGAATATATATATATATATAGTATATATAGTATATATAGTATATATAGTATATATATATATATATATATATATATATATATAGTATATATACATGCAGATGCTGCACAGAATGCATCAGAATCCAATGAAACCCTTATCAGAAACCATCAGAACCTAATGCAATCAGAAGGCAATCAGACTCTCACAGACTTCCATTAGACTCTCAACTCTCAGATAAAACAGAATGCAACTACGCTGGGAAAAGCAGACTTTTCAGCTGCCAGAAAATCAGAACTAGCCAGCAGTAATGCTGGGTTCGATCAGAATGTCCAGCTTTACACCATGAGCCCTCAGATAATCACCATGCCACTTCAGCTCCTGCAGAATGCCACTCAGCAGAGTGATCACCACACACAGCAGTGCCAGCTGCAGAAACTCTCCCAGAGTCACCAAGCCATAGCCCACCAGCACATGTCCACCAAATGCCAGAAGCAGCAGCCAGATGTAGACAGAGATCTGGCAGCCCAGAGTGACCAGATCCAGGATGCAACCAAGGGCTGTGTCCCACAGATCAGGCAGCAATGGCATGGCCAGACTATCACAGAGCAGATCAGACTATCACAGAGCAGATCAGACTATCACAGCTACAGAAGCATCAGACCATTCATCAGAATCCATCCCAGGTACAGAAAATCCAATGAGAATCCCATCAGAGCCTATCAGAAAACAGAGGTTCTCAATCAGAATCCAATGAAGATCCAACCAAAGCCTATCAGAAAACAGAGGTTCTCAATCAGAATCCAATGAAGATCCCACCAAAGCCTATCAGAAAACAGAAGTTCTCAATCAGAATCCAGTGAAGATCCCACCAAAGCCTATCAGAAAACAGAGGTTCTCAATCAGAATCCAATGAAGATCCCATCAGAGCCCATCAGAAAAGAGAGGATTTGTCAAAACCTTACAGAAGCCTTTGGGGAAGAGTTGGGATTTTCGATTTACTATTGCAAAGCAGACCCCCCCCCTTAAAAAAAAAAAATAGGGGGGGGACGTGGCGGGGAAAAACACGTACTATGTGGCGCGGCGCGTTTTTCGCAAAAATTTACCCTACGTTGCGCAAAACAAAAAAAAACACACTATTAAAAGATATGCTCTATACTGCACTTTCACCTGACCAGCCCCCTCAATCTGACCTTCTCCACCCGCCCCAACAGATGGTTCTTGCCCTTGACATGTCTTATCTTCTTGCATTTTCTCACCTTACACACACAGATCAAACAGTCATCTTCCCTATGAAATTCCTTCGTGCATTTGCGCACTTCACTCTTACGTTCATCCCTATATTTCTTGTTCATCTCTTTCACTCTGTCACCGTTCTTTTGTTCTCGTTTTCTTCTGCATCGGAACCCACATCACAGGTAGAATTGTCTTCCCTATACGTATCCAATTTTCTATTAGCCCACCACTTCCTACAGTTTTGAGTCGGTAACAATTTCACGTTCCACCCTGAAGGAACAATGATCTCGCTCTTACGTTTCTTTGTTCACAATTGCTTCATCCATGCTTCAGCTGGGGCGTGGCAGGGAAGATTGGGACCTTTTTTAAATTTTGGATTTAATATTTATTTTATTTTATTTTATTTTTATTTTTATTATTTTTAATTATAATATTTTTTCATTATTTTTAATTATAATTATAATATGTTTTAATTATAAAATATGCTTTAAATTATTTTTTTATTTTTATTTTTATTTTTTTAATTTAACAATTTTTACAGTTTTTTAAATCATGTCAGGATCATGTCAGGATACACAATAATGTCCTGTTTTTTTGTTCAACATTTTTCATTTTTTTTATTTTTTTACAGCTTTTTCCTTTTACTTTTTATTTTCCATGATTGAAAATTTTCAGATGCCTTCCACAGAAAATTACATCCAGGTACACAATAGTGTGATTTGTTTGAGGGGTACACTATTGTGTCCAGCTGCTTTCCTGAGGTCATGATTTTTTTTTCAATCATTTCCTTTACCTTTTCCTTTGCTTTACTTTTCCTTTTAATTAATTACTTTCTTAGTTTCTTTCATTTGAAATTCTCAGAAATGCCCAGTTTCCCAAAATATATGATGCCTTATTAAAACCCAATTTAAAAACATCACTCAAACAATTTTTCAAGGGGGTAGTCCATGAGCAACCCTGATACATAATAGTGTGGTTTGTTTGGAGGGTACACTATTGTGTCCAGCTGCTTTCCTGAGGTCATGATTTTTTGATTTTTTTCAATCATTTCCTTTACCTTTTCCTTTGCTAAAGTTTTTTTCTTTTAATTAATTACTTTCTTAGTTTCTTTCATTTGAAATTCTCAGAAATGCCCAGTTTCCCAAAATACATGATGCCTTATTAAAACCCAATTAAAAAACATCACTGAAACAATTGTTCAAGGGGGTAGTCCATGCGCAACCCTGATACACAATAGTGTGGTTTGTTCGGGGGTACACTATTGTGTCCAGCTGCTTTCCTGAGGTCATGATTTTTTTTCAATCATTTCCTTTACATTTTCCTTTGCTAGCTAAAGCTTTTTCCTTTTAATTAATTCCTTTCATAATTTATTTCACTTGAAATTCTCAGAAATGCCCAGTTTCCCATAAATATATGATGCCTTGTTAAGACCCAATTGAAAAACATCACTCAGACAATTTTTCAAAGGGGTAGTCCATGAGCAACCCTGATACACAATAGTGTGGTTTGTTTGGGTGTACACTATTGTGTCCAGCTGCTTTCCTGGGGTCATGATTTTTTTTCAATCATTTCCTTTACCTTTTCCTTTGCTTTACTTCTCTTTTAATTACATAATTACTTTCTTAGTTTCTTTCATTTGAAATTCTCAGAAATGCCCAGTTTCCCAAAATACATGATGCCTTATTAAAACCCAATTAAAAAACATCACTGAAACAATTGTTCAAGGGGGTAGTCCATGCGCAACCCTGATACACAATAGTGTGGTTTGTTCGGGGGTACACTATTGTGTCCAGCTGCTTTCCTGAGGTCATGATTTTTTTTTCAATCATTTCCTTTACCTTTTCCTTTGCTTTACTTTTCCTTTTAATTACTTAATTACTTTCTTAGTTTCTTTCATTTGAAATTCTCAGAAATGCCCAGTTTCCCAAAATACATGATGCCTTATTAAAACACAATTTAAAAACATCACTGAAACAATTGTTCAAGAAGGGTAGTCCATGCGCAACCCTGATACACAATAGTGTGGTTTGTTCGGGGGTACACTATTGTGTCCAGCTGCTTTCCTGAGGTCATGATTTTTTTTGTTTTTTTCAATCATTTCCTTTACCTTTTCCTTTGCTAGCTAAAGTGTTTTCCTTTCAATTAATTTCTTTCTTAGTTTCTTTCATTTGAAATTCTCAGAAATGACCAGTTTCCCAAAATATATGATGCCTTATTAAAACCCAATTAAAAAACATGACTCAAACAATTTTTCAAGGGAGTAGTCCATGAGCAACCCTGATACAGAATAATGTGGTTTGTTTGGAGGGTACACTATTGTGTCCAGCTGCTTTCCTGGGGTTATGTTTTTTTTTAATTTTTTAAATCATTTCCTTTACCTTTTCCTTTGCTAGCTAAAGTGTTTTCCTTTCAATTAATTTCTTTCTTAGTTTCTTTCATTTGAAATTCTCAGAAATGACCAGTTTCCCAAAATATATGATGCCTTATTAAAACCCAATTAAAACACATCACCCAAACAATTTTTCAAGGGGGTAGTCCATGAGCAACCCTGATACACAATAGTGTGGTTTGTTTGAGGGTACACTATTGTGTCCAGCTGCTTCCTGAAGAGATTTTCTAGCACTGACTCAAGAAATCATGAGATTAATTATCTCAGAATGAAAGTGAAAGCCACTGAGTTTTTATCAGTGCAAAGCTGCAAATCACTCACTCTCAGTAGAGCTTCAGGCAGGAGCAGCTGATGTTGCTGAGGTAGATGCAGCTGAGCTCGAGGAAATAGGTTCTAAAGATGGGCTTGCTGAGGTAGCTAGGGTGGCTGACTTAAGCAGTTGCTCAAGATCCCCAGGCCCTGTGCTGAGAAAGGGCAACTTCTTGGCCTTGGCAGCCTCTGAGTGCAGGTGGTACCTGAGGCATTTGTAGGCATCACAGCTCTGGCAGCCTGATTGCCATCTGCACTTAGAACATCTGCCAAAGGAATCCTTCAGGAGCTTGACCTTGTGAACTGAGTCCTGAGAGAGGTTTTTCCAAGTGAACCTCACTGAGTTCTTGTCCAGCTGCTGCTGAGCAGTAATGTAGGCAACTGAGGTGATGTCCTTGAGCTTAGAAAGCTTAACCTTAGCTTTTTCTTGTTGCTCAGCAATCTTAGCTTTCTCAGATTGAAATTTCTCCCATCTGATGTTGGCAGCATCAGTGATGAGTTTTTGCTCAGCAACGACCTTGGTGCAAGCAATCTCCAACCTCTGCTTCCAGTTCTTCCACCCTGTCTCAGGCCAAACTGAGGGCCACTCTCCTCTGAGAAGCCTGATTTCTTCCTCCATGTAGTGCAGCACATAGCAGCCACAGGCATTGCTGCCCACAGGCTGCTTGTCAGAGTTGCTGAGTGGTGGAAGGATGAACTGAGGGTCAAGCAAGTTCCCCATGAGGATCTGCTGAGGATGAGATTCTTCATGCTCCTTGCTGAGGGGGTCATACCTCCTCCAAGTGATGGGTTGCCCAGTGCCTTCCCTCTGAGCTACCAGCAAAGTCCAGTGAAAATGACAATACACTGGAACCAGAAGAAGCCTGGTGCTCTCAGTCTAACTAAGCTGCAGGCCTTGCTTCAAGCCACTCAGCTGCTCAGGATCGTCATCATTCTCAAGGAGCAACTTGCCCAGGATGGGATCAATACAATGCACCCCAATTTCCGCAGGCTGAGGCACATTAGCCTTCTTGAAGCACCAGCTGAGAAGACACCAGCCAAACCACAGGTGCTGATCCTCCATCTCAGGTATGTTGGCAGGGCATGGCAACACTGTGTGAGTGGACCATTCCTCAGGGCCCATGCCAAGCTGATCATCAGGGTTGCAGCTCAGTTGGGACAGCCATAACTTGAGGTCATTCTTGCTGAGCTGGCTCCACTTAGGCCACTGAACTCTTGCAACAAAAGGCTTAGAGCTTTTGAGCTGCAGCCACTCAGGCTTAATCTGAAAGACTCCTGAGGTAGTGACCATGGTGTAGAAGCCTTTATCACTGAGGAAAGTGAGCTTGCCTTCCTTGCCAAAGTGAAGCTTGCCTGCAGCATCTGAGGTGACAACAGCTTCCTGCATCAGAAGGGGGTCATCAGAATCTGGTGCTTCCTGAGGAGCCTCAGCAGGAGGAGGCAAAGGTGGTGGTGCCTTATAGTTGCTTCCTCCTCACAAGTCTTCTTGGGCTCAGCATCTGAGATGGCTTGCTGCTGAGTGGCTTGCTCCTGAGTTTTCTTAGCAGCTTTCTTCAAGGCTTTGAGCTTAGCTGAAGGCTTGTTT